GGTGTTTGTGAGTGAGTCCGCGGCCTTGTTGGCTTTGCCTTTCTTGCGCTTGGCAGGGGCATCTTCAATTGGCTCATCGGCCTTGCGTTTAGGGACTGGTCCCTTGCGGCGTTTCTTCTGCTGTGGCGTGGCGGATGTCTCTCTGGATGGTTCAGGAGAAGAGTCCAGACCCTGTGCTTTTCTCTGGCGCTTCTCACGGTTGGCACGGAGCCGTTCCATCCTGGCATCGTTCTTTGCAATTGTCTCTTCAAGCGTTTCTTCATCGCCGTCAACAGCCGTTAGCCATTGCTCTTCTGTCAGGCCATCGTCATATTTTACGTTCTTGCGCTCACGAGCACCACGACCAGCAACTTCTTCAACCGCGGGAGCTGTGGGGTTCTCTTCGGTCAGATAGATGTCCGGCAACTCATCTTCACCAAGGAGACGAGGCAACTTGTGTCCCGGGCCGTACTCGCAAGTCTTCTGACGCTCCGCGTCAATCTTCTGGAAAAGGGCAAACTCGGTCTCAGATCGGGCCATGATTTCGTTCAGGTCATCATCATCCATCTCATCCTGGTCGTTAATTTGGTCTGCGTTCTCGGCGGTTTCAAGCAGAGTACGCAGCAGAGCGTCTCGTTCCTCGTTGGTAGACTTATTGTCGAATTTACCGGCCTGGATAACCTTGCCGTCCATATCGAGCTTGAACTGGGCACGCTCGAGGATTCGTTCTTCAACGGAGTTGGAACTGATCAGTCGGAGAATACGGACTTCGTTCTTCTGACCGATTCTGTGAGCACGATCTTGAGCCTGCAGATCCTGGTGAGGGTTCCAATCGGAGTCGTATATGATGACGGTATCGGCGGTTTGCAAGTTTAGACCCAGACCACCGGCACGGGTAGAGAGGAGGAAACAGAAATACTCTGATCCGGGTTCGTTGAAGCGTCTCAGTAGGTCGGATCGGTCGTCTGATTTTGTTGCACCATCCAGCCGGAGATACTTCATGCCACGGAACCGCATGAAGTCTTCCATGATATTCATGATCTGTGTCATCTGGAAGAACATGAGGACACGATGGCCCGAAGCAAAGAATTTAGGAAGGATTCGGTCGAGCAGTTCGAATTTACCAGCAGTACGCCAAATAAGATCGTTTGTAGCCTTGCCGGGATTCAACTCTTCTTCTACCGAGTCAAAGACGAACGGGTGGTTGCAGAGCTTACGCAGTTGCATGAGCATATTACTCAGACCACGTACAGGAGTCTTTCCACCCTTTCCGTCACTGACAGCAAGTTTGTTGTGAGTGACAAGCTGCTTATACAGCTTGGCTTGGAGGGCAGAGAATCTGCATCTGATGACACGTTCTTGCTTCTCGGGAAGATCTTTCTCGACATCCTTCTTGAGACGACGGAGCAAGAATGGACGAAGAACTTTGTGAAGGCGACGAATGACGAGCAACTGTTCTTCTTCTGTAAGCTCCATACGGTCTTGACTGCCTGTATTCGCGAACGGGGTATTGAACCATTCATCGAACGATTTGACGGACTTGAAGATGTTGGGGAGGGCGAAGTTGAGCAGAGCCCAGAGCTCAGGAAGGTTATTTTGCAGCGGAGTTCCGGTCAAAATCAAACGGTATCTGGACTGGTAGTAGTTGGTAAGGGTGAAACTCAGCTTTGATCCCGCATTCTTCATACGGTGACCTTCATCAACAATCATGTGTAGCCACTTGACTTTGCTGAGAATAGGGCGGTCCTTGATAATAAATTCATATGTTGTGAGAAGCACCTGGAAGTTACCCCATCGAATGGCCTGCTGGTGCTGTTTTCGAGTTACTTGCGGACCCTTGTAGACAATACGAGTGATAGACGGGGCCCATTTCTCGAATTCGAGATTCCAGTTGGTCAGGGTACTCAGGGGAACGATGACGAGGTATGGGCCGTTTTGCTTCTTGGTTTCGATAAGGTAGGTGATTAAACTGATGGTCTGGATAGTTTTACCGAGACCCATCTCATCGGCCAAGATACCGTTAAGGTTGTTGTTGTAGAGGGAGATCATCCAGGTTAGACCACGGAGCTGGTATTCCTTGAGGGTACCACCAACAAGAATGCTCGGTTGGATAGTGACTTCTTCCTTGATACGATGGGCGACGGCGTAGTAGTCAACCTTTCGGCTCTCTTCCTCTTCGTCAGAGTCACCTATATCCTCATCGGTCTCAATTTGGTCTTCGTCTCCATAACGTTCTGCAGTCATGCGCTGCTGAGAACGAACGGAAGCAGCAAGTTGCCGCAAGAAGCCATCGGTCTGCTTGAGCAAGTGGGAAATACGGGAATCTTTGGCCTGACCAAGCAGTTTCATATACGTTTCCTCGTCGTTTGCCTTAAGAGCCTGGAGACGTTGCTTGGCAGTTCGTTCTACTCGTTTCTGTTCCTCACGCTCGAGGTGAGTGTGATGAGCCATCATCAGACGACCAAGTTTCTGTATACGGCCACGCTGCTCTGTTCCAGCATTGCGCACATCAGCACCGTGGTTAAGGATAGCTTGCAGCTGGTTATACTGCTTCTGTTTCTCCTTGGTCTCACGGGCATCGCGCTGCTGCTTCTCGAGCTTCTCGGTAACTCTGGCTTCACGCAGGGACTGTTTCTTCATGCGACGATGAGCCGGTCGATTGGCAGACATGGCAAGGTAGTCGAAGTGCATCATCTCGTTCTGGATCTGCCTACGGAACGCGCGTTGTTTAGGGAGGAGGTTGAGCATCTTGTACTCAATCAGGGCCTTGAGCTTGAGGGAGTCATCAGCTGTGGGTGAATCTCCTTCACCACTGTCCCAGACACCAAGATTGGCAGGCAATTTGGCCAATTCTGCCTTTCGAGCATTGATACGGTTGTACAGGATCATTTCCCGGTCTTCGCGGACCTTGTCGAGATCGATACCCATGGGAGTTATGCAAGGCAGCCTCAGCCGATTCCGGCGCACGGCATGGTCATTGTAATTAATAGTCGCGCCGAGGATGTCATAGGGGTTCTTGAAGGTCTCGAACATGGTTCTGAGCTTCTCGACAACGGCTTCACTCTCGCCAGATACATCGCGACCAGTGCCATCTACCGAATGATCAGAGCTGAGAACGCCGTCAACACCTGTTGCCTTCTTTGCAAAGAGCTGCTGCTGGACGCGCTGGGGGATAGCCAGATTCTTGGAGAGCATCTTGAAGGCCAGTATCTGATTCCTCAAGGTTGCCAGCTGTTCTGGCGTGAAGCTTTGCGATCCTTGAGAGGCGCCTTTCTGACTCGGGGTGCTAGCACTGGGGACGGCAGAATTTGCTACATAAACACCGTTAGCATCGCGTTGTCCAAATATTTGCGCAAAATCCAAAGTGAATATGACAAATGAGAGGCAGTGAAAGCTAAAAGAGAGAAAGCTGGACGAAAAGATCAAAGCCTTACCATCAGTTCCATTGGAATCAGCAATGCCATTTAGCGGCCCTTGCAGCTGCTGGGGAGCCTGGGGAGCAGCTTGGGGGACCTGCTGAGGCGGTTGAGGTTGCTGCTGCTGTCTCTGCGCATGAAGCATCTGCATCTGGCGCTGCTTCTGGTACGCCTGTTGCCGCTGGACGGCAGACAGCAGATTGTGAGCTTTAAGGTATTCCGGGTCATCATGGCGCACACCTTGTTCTTGCATCTGCCGGAATTTCTTCAACAGGTCAGTATCATATATATATTTTTTCTCCTTTTCTTTTGATAGCGTATAAGCAACATACCTGGTAAACCTCCTGGATGTGCTGGGGAGTGAGGTTTGGCGGCAGGCCGATGTTCTGCTGCGGCATATTGGCAGACTGCTGGACAGACGCCATGGTTGAATATTCTATGCTGAGCTAGCAGAGCTCTTCATCAAAAAAAAAAGCACGGCAATCTTTGAAAGATATGCAAAAAAAAAGGGTAAAAAAATATAAGAATAACGACAGACGGTGCCCTGGCTAGCAAGTGGCGAGGGAGAGCATAGCCAGCCAGCGAGCAAGCAAGGCAGACGCGATAGAGAGTGAAGAGAGGCAGTCGAGCGTGGGCGTGGACGGCGGTTATCGCTGATCGTCGCGTCGGCGTTCTGTATATTTTTACGTTTTTGGACTTCTAGCTTGCGCGGTAGCAGATGGGCAGGTTTTAGCTATGCGGCGAGGGCCAAAGATGGGAGAGGGTTGGGTGGCCGTGGCCGTGGCCGCCTGGGCGTGGGCGTGCAGGCAAGTAGACAGACAGCTGAAGTGAGGGAGAGCGAGAGAGCGAGCGAGAGGGTAATACGGAAGGGTGGAAGGGCAGGCGTCGCGCGGTGCAGGGAGCGTAGCGGAGCGGACGATGTGGAGGGCGAGGGCGCGCTGGATGTTTCTCCTTGAGCCGGCGGTGGTTCGGGTCGCCTTCTTTTTTTTTTTGCTTATGGGCAGACGAAGCGCAAGGGGAGGGAAAAGACGGCAGCGAAGCAGGAAGAGGCGAGAAAGAAGGCGAAGGAAGGGCGGACGGGCAGAGTTTTAGGTGGTCCACGTGACGCTTAGTAAGACACGTGATGGTGGAGGCAGGTGGAGGGGGAGACGGAGGGCGTATAAACAAGAGCAGAGCCAGAGGAAGACAGCAAGGTGTGAAGCAGAGGGTGGAGGTAGAAGAGCGAAAAAGTAGTAGATATCATGATAGAGAAGAAGAGGAGGTTAGGAGGAGGTTAAGATGAGGCTCTGCTGATGTCCAGATAAGCTTAAATTTAAGGTGTTTCCTAAAGCGGACGATGGGCAGTTTTTGGTGTTCCGGACTCTTAAGCTACGGCGAGAGAGAGATAGAAAGAGAGTAACAGTGATAGCAACAGTGAGAGTGATAGTGAGGGATAGTGATAGGCCAGCTACAGTTAGACATGCACCAGAGACCAGACCAGACCAGACCAGAGAGCCAGAGACAGACAACGCCAGACTCCAGATATAAAGACACTGCCTGACCACCCAGACCCAGTCCAAGAGAGAGAAGAAAGAAAGACAAGAAAGAGAAAGGAGATGGTAAAGTCTACACGGCATAAGCAGAGACAGAGCGTTTTGGTGGCGGAGGAGGTGGCGGGGGTTTCTTCGACCTTGATGGTGGAGGGGGAGGCGGCGGCTTCTTGACGGGTGTCGCGGTGCCTGACCCTGAACCCGACGCTGGTGTGGGAACCTGGCCTGACGCCGGTACAGTCCGCAAGGGAGACGTGCTGGTGGAACTATAGTACTGGTCTGGACTGTTCCTGACGGGAGACGCCCCGTCGTCCGTGGTAGAGTCGTAGTAGCCATCATTGTGAGTGTTACTATTATTGTTGTTGTTGCCGCCATTGTACCCCTGGCTGATAACCCGCAGCTGTGAGCGTGCATTAGCTATACCGGCCGCACTACTGCCAATCGTGGCCGGAGAGATGCTATCACTCGCGGTTCGGAGGGGGGTTCGTAGGGCTGGTGCAGGGGAGGGAGACGGTCTCCTGGTGCGGAGCTGCGTTGGACCCTCGAAGGTTGGCTGACGCCCACCCAGGCCCGGCCGAGAGGGCTCGCGGGACCTAGAGGTGCCTGGCTGCTGGGAAGAGGACTGGTACGTGTCCTCGCCTGCCATCTGGTCGTTGAAAGAGGTGTTGGAGCGAGTCAGGGTTGACCGGCGGCCATACGAGTTGAACTGCTGCGTTGGTCTGGTATAATTAGTTAGTACGGTGAAGAACAAAATGGTGCATGAAAAAAAAAGAAGTAGAGACGTACCCAGCAGGCCACTCGTCCTTGAGCTGGAGGAGAACCTCGCGGCATTTTTCATGGTAGTTTAACTGCGCATCGAGAAAGGCGCTCATGTCTGCGGTGCACTCAGGCTCAGACTCCTTGATATCCATCATGCGACGAAGGACTTCTTCAGTTGCCTCTTCGTACTTGACCTTCTGCGACCGGAGCTCTTCTTCGACCCTGAAATCTTCCTTTTTGGCCTTTTGCATCTTTGCCTGGGAGGTATCATACGCCAGCCGCCGGTTCTCCAGCTTCTTGCGAGCCGCCTATTCATATATTGTTAGAAAAGGCATCTGTAAAAAGTGAAATGAAAGAGGGTATGCCTACCTGGTACTCCTTCAGCTGGTTGAGAGACCGTTCCAGAGATTCTAGCCAGCTAGAGGTTGCAGCTGCGACATACTGCTCCTGGATCCTGGAGATTCGCTCGTTCGTCCGCCCGAACGCTGTAATCCCGTCAGTATCTGCTAGTATCTACTTGTATCTAGAACTCGCAGCAGGCGATAACCCACCTGTAAGACACTGGCCGTACTCGGAGTTGCTGGCAAAGTCCTCGCCATGCGCGACCATGACGCCGCCCAAGTTTCCAATTGGGAAGAGCTTCTCCTTGTCCTCGCCCTCGCTGCGCTTCGAGATGGCCCTGACATACGCCGCCATGGCCTTGTTCAGACGCTCCATTCCTACCAAAATGCGTTAGCATCCGTATCCGAACGAGTACGAAGAGTAGTTAAAAAGTGTCCGTCAGCCCACCTTCTTGCCTGAGGTTCATCTCCATCTCGAGCAGCTTGAAGTCGTCCGAGACGTTGGTCTTGATCTCGCCGCCCATCCTCTCTCCAGCCCACTGCTTGAGGCGGCCGAGCTTCTTGTTGACGTTCATGATGGCGACGAGTACCCCGTAACGAGCGTCTTATCCGTTAGATTCGGGTAAACAGAGAAGCGAAGGACTGAAGACAGAGAGATAGAAGACGTTCGAGCGAGTGGCAGAGACGGCAGAGAGAAGGAAACGACTTGCGTAATGAAGCAAAAGAGTGGAACAAAAAGTCAAACCAGCTGCTGTCTCACCAAGAAGATGATGATGGACAAGATAATAATAAGAACGAAGAAGAAGAAGACGAAGAAGAAGAAGAAGAAGAAGAAGAAGAAACAAGACAAGAACCAAGCCTGCTTTTTCTTCTGCGCTGCTGCTTCACTGCCAGCCAGTCTTTCGCTGCTGTGGCGATGGGGATAATAAATAAAGGAAGCTATTATTATGAGATTATTATAAGTAGAGGGACTCAAGAAGACGGTGGACCAGCCAGCGCCTTTTCGACTCTTTTTTCCTCCTTGGCCGTTTAAAGAGCGTTCTTCGTCTTCATCACCAACTCCATCATCTTCTTCGTCTTCTCTTCTCCTGGTATCCATCGTCTTATACTCACTGTCCGTAACTCTCCAAGTGCTCTGCATGGTTTCTTTTCTTCTTCCCGCCCGAAGCTCGACCGACCGACCAACCAACGTCGACCTGCGCCAACCGCCCCCGGACCGCAACCCAGACTCCCGACTTCATCCCTTCTCCAGGCCTTCAGCTTTGACTACAACACTCTCACGCACACAGAGAAGAATCATGCAGACGGTGGGGGATCTGTTTCGTCAGGACGTAGCGGGCGGCGGCCAGGGGTGGGCACCGGTTGGCTGTCGGCTTCTGCTGGCTTTGAAACAGGAGACGCAGCCAGGATGCAGCTAACCGCCCGCTTTTTCTTGTGTCTTACTTGTCGCGATGCCATTATTTCTTGTTGTTGCCCATACGACCGCGGTTTTGCTCTTCATCTGGCCCGGCTGGATGGGAGTCTGTACCTCTGTACCGCCGTGGCCAAGCCTGGTGCGACGCGGGACTGCTCCTTTCTGTGGGCTTGCTGGGATGTGTGCACACGACGAAGATACCAGAGATACCATACTACATACAGCTGAAAGTGGAAGAAGAGGTTCGCAGGTCATTATTTCTTTCTATATTAGTTATTCTTACGCTAATGTATAGGTTCATTAATACATTCAGGGTGAGGCTTTTTAAGGAGAAGACAACCGAACCGTTTTTCAGTCCAAAATACCGAGAAAGCAGAAAAGCATTTTCCAACCAAAGACAGGGCCGTCCCATTGCAGATACCCGCTTCCATTCCCATTAAAAAAAACGCATAGAACGCATAAAACTCCGGTCTTATTCAAATAAGGCTCGCCAAGGGAGAGAGGAGAAAGTTGATGTTGCTTATGACCTGGCACAGAAGTCTAGACTTGTGTAGTCTGGCGGCAGCAGAACCTGGTTGTCCAGCCAGTCCGTGTCCTCGGGCAGCAAGGGGGGCCAGGAGCCGGTAAGGCCAATGTAAGAATCGAACATCAGAGGTGAGTCAGTGGGCGAGATGGACTGCTGGGAATACAGGGAAGGGACAGATGTAGGGCTGGGAGTTGGGTGGGCGAAGGTGTCAGGCGGACTGTGGCCGGTAGTAGTGTTGGTGCTGCTATTTGTGGTGGTGGGAGGGTTCATGGGGGAGAAGTCGATGGGTTCGGCCATGTACTGGGCGAAGTTGATGTTCGACGTCGAGTTGGGGTCCAGAGTCAGCATGGAGTGGATGTTGTTGAGTGAGTTTGGGTCAAACGAGTGTGACGCCGTTGTCTGTGGCATACAGATACCACTACCTCCTCCGACGGCAGGCGACGATGAGGTGGTGACAGCGGCAGAGGTGGAGGCAGGAGTGGACGTTGGGGGACGAGAGAAGTTTATATGTTGCTGCTGGTGATGATGATGGTGATGTTGTTGTTGTTGCTGCTGTTGTTGTCTTGGATCTGATGCTGCAGCTAACATGAGATCGAATTCGTTCCAGTTGATCGGACCCACGGCCTGCGGATCACTATATCCTTGCCCTATTATCTGATCGATGTCACAGTCGCCAAGAGGGGGAGTCTGGACCTGTGGCTCCAACGAGGATGCACTATTATTATTATTACTGTCCTGCACGGGACTGCTCATGCCAACCAGGGGAGCCAGATGAGGTGGCGGCCAACATATCCTCGCATTGATACCGCTGGGCACCATAACTTTACCCAACGACTTCCGCTCCATCAGCTCCCGGGCAAACTTGCCTGGCGTCACCCCGACGACCTTCTTGAAGACACGGTGGAAGTGGCTGGGGGTCAGGCCGGCCTCGCCAGACAGATCTGACAGGGTCGGCCGCTGCTTGTCTCCGCCGGCCAGAGCAGCCAGCGTCATGGTCTCGCACGCCCGCTGGGCCAGCCTGATGTGCGGATCGGTAGGCGCGCGCACGTCTTCGGGCTTACACCGCTTGCAGGGGCGGTATCCCGCCTTCTCGGCCAGGAGAGGCGTGTCGTAGAACTCGACGTTGGCACGGCGGGCGAGACGGGCAGGGCAGCGGGGGCGACAGTAGATCTTGGTCGTCCGCACGCCGTACACAAACCCGGTGGCAGCGGCATCCCGGTTGACGATTGCGCGCCATCTGGCAGAGGTCGTGGCGTAGGCCGACTTGTTGTCTGTTTCCGCCGTCATGATGATGGTAGGACTCCAGGGAATGGACCGAGAACCGTCGGGCTGGATTGGGTGTTGTTCGAGTGGTGAGAGGGCCAGAAGAGGTGCAGGGAGGCCAGGCGGATAGGGACTAGGCTCTGCGGTGGGAGGAGTGAGGAGCGAGGATCGAGATATGGGAAGGGGTCGATGTTCTATAAGGCCCGTCCTGCGTCTATATCCATCACTCTGCTGTGTCTCAGCGTACTGTCTCTCTCTCTGTGTCTGTCTCTGTACGGAGTATATATTGCGTCTCTTCACGTCTCTGCTCTGTGACTCTTCGTATAATCTTCAGACGTCTCAGCGAATATCGTCTCGTATACCGTGTCTCCTATCCTGCACTGCTAAGACTGCCAATGTGCGGTGCCTGCGAGACGGTTATATAGCTCTTCGCTCTTTCGGGCGCGAGTGACGGAAGAGAGCGCAGGGCAAGGGCGCGGTCCCGTGATTGGCCAGTTTGGGAGCAAGACGGGGACGCTAGGCCGCTTCAGGCGTCGCCTGCTGCACGTGACGTGCAAAAACACGTGATGATGTCATGGTCATGTGATTAAGAGGGCGCCAAGGCCAGTGAGGGTGCAAAAGCCGGCAGTAAGGTAAGGGATAATAAGGGGGATAGGATAGATAGCAGAAATTATAGAGAAGAAGGGTTGATATTGGATTAACGGAGGGCTAAGAAGGATTAAAGGATGAAGAAAAGGAGGAGGAGAAGAAGCAGAAGTAGACAAGACTACGGTGAAGTGATTTATTTTATTCTTCCGTACATCATTATGAAAAAAGACCCACGCCATCCCATTAGTACTTCTAGTCCTTGGTCTTCTGGGTTCCGCGCAGGAGACCGGTCCGGCGGGCAGCGATAAGACCGGCTTTCTGTCCCTGTACGGCATATCGGGAGATGGTCGAAGCCTTGCCAATGTGCTGGTGGTTACCACCACCGTGGGGCTGCAGGGAGTTAGCATGGCAGACATGATACGTCTCTGTCGGGCCGTTGTTGCACTTACATGGTCGACGGGGTTCATGGCAACACCACGAGTCTTGGGCCACGAGTTGCGCTTGGCAGCGAACTTGTGCTTAGCACGAGAAGCCTCTGCACAGACAAGTTAGTACCAACTCTCTCAACTCAATTCGGACACTCATAAAAAAAAAAAAAAAAAAAAAAAAAAACGAGGGACGTGGGTAGACGTACTCAGGAGAGGCTTGTCTGTACGGCCACCACCGGCAACAATTCCAACCATTCCTCTGACTCTGCTGCTGACGACCTTCTTGGCACCACTGGGCATCTTGATGCGTGTCTTTCCCTCCTCGGGGTTGTGTCCGATGACAGTAACGTAGTTTCCAGACGTCCTGCCGAGCGCACCTCTATCGCCGACCTTCTCCTCCACGTTCGTCACAACGGTACCTTCGGGCACGGAGCCGAGAGGGAGGACGTTGCCGATGTTGAGGGAAGCGTGCTTGCCAGAGTAGACGAACTGGCCGGTGTACATGCCCTCGTTGGCAATGAAGGTCTCGGTGACCTCCTTGTACTTGTATGGATGGCGGAAAGAGACCTGGGCCAGGGGAGCACCTCGGCCGCTGTCGTGGACAATCTTCTTCACGACACCGCGAATGTAGCCATGGCGCTCAGCGTAGTCTAGGGTTCGGAACTGGGCTGGAGCCTTGTTGAGACGGGTGCGAGCCGCTATTCACACAGTCAACTTATTAGCATGCATTCCTCTATTTCTCCCTGCGTTTTTACTCCCTCGCTGCTCGACAATTCGCCCTGCGCCTTTCGTGCGTCTGCGGTCCGTCGAATTCCGCCGCCTTTCTTCCCCTTCGGAAAGCAGAGAAGAAGACAAAAATACTCAATGGATGCTGGAGGTCAACGTACTGAAGATAGATCCACGACCCTTCCTCTGATTGCGGATCACGCGACCCATGATTACTGCAGAGACGGTTAGCAGGTGTTTTCTCGGTGCTGGGTCTGCTCAGTGAGTCTCCGGCGGCAGCGTCAAGGAAGCGAGGCGGTGGTCGTACCTTATCGCGAAGTTGTCGGCTTGGTCGTGGAAAAGTTGGAGTTCGAGATGCAAAAAATGTTCGCGGCTTGTGTGGTTGCTTTCTCTGTGGGAGTCGCTAAGCTAGCCGCTTTCGTCTTGCTGACTAAGCTCGCCAACCGCAACTTCGACTTTTCGACTTTTCGACTCTTTCTCAACGTCAACAAAACAAACAACGACGTCAAGTCACGGACATCGACGGCAACAGGACGGGCAGGACGGGCAGGACGGCACGCCAGGAAGACGGCGATGGTGAGGCGAAGGCAAGATGATGTGTCTAGACGATGATGATCCTAGACGGACAAGACATTTCATGGTGATATGACTTAACCGCCAAGTACAGCGTGTGTGACTCAATCGCCACCGAGTTATGAGTCCGAGTCCGCCTGCGATACTAGGGATAGACAGGGAGCCCAGCCATATCCTGCATCGAGGATAATCGCCTCCTACACGGCGTTGTCGGCCTCCGATACGGTGTCTTGATAGATTCAATCTATTTACTGGTGTTATCATAGTTCGCTACCTTGGCTCAAGCGTACATCTGCAGACTTTGGTATTTACTACGGCAGCTTTCTGGTGCTGCCTTTGTTCATGACTTTTTGGCTGGAAGCGACTGCTGTCCTCTGTCTTGATCCACCGTGAATAGGACATAGACGTGAATAGAACATTTTGGTGAATAGCTGGATTTCAACTTGGACTCTTTCAACTGCTCAGCAGGACATGTTACCTATATATAGTTTAGAAGAACAGAAAGAGGCCCCTTTTTTTCTTCATCATGTTCAATCATTCCTCTCTCTGTCTACGTTGGCTGTTTCGCTCCCATCTACTACCATCTCACCATCTACAGCTACAGCTACAGCTACAGCTACGAAGAACCAATCTTCTCTCTTCGACAGCCTGATATCAAACTGCGCTCCCCAAAGTTGACTCAGCCCTGTTACGTTAAGCAAGCGACTCGAGGCTGAAGCTTTTTTCTGCTTACCTACGACCAAAAAAGCTAACTAGCTGTCTGGCTGGCATCTTATTTTTATCTTATCTCCAAAGGCGTGCTACCCTCCATCAAATACTTCTTTGAACCCCAACAACCAAAAACCCTACCACCTCCTCCGTCGCCATCTGCACCAGCGTCGCCAGCCCTCGATTCTGCGCGCAGGTTTCGCCATGTCGGATTCCGACTCTTCCTCGTCCTTATCCTCGGTCGTCTCGACGGCCGACGAGTCCATCGCGGAATCCGTCAACCGCAGCGCGGGAATCACCAAATATTTCAAAAAGGCAGAGAAGTCAGCTCCAGCACCACCATCCCCCAAACGACCCCCGTCGCCTCCCCATGAATACGTTCTAGCTGATAATCCGAATATTGCCGTGAGTAAAAATTATTTAGTTTCCCTTTTTTCCCTTTTTTGCTTGTGCGGTGGTTGCATTGTTTCTACATATCGTTTTGAGGCGAGGGCGTGACGCGCCTGCTTATAGTGCTTTGACGCGAAAACCAATAGCTAACACTTCCACCCTCTAGTTCCTGGTGATGTTCCGCTCGAGATTCACGGATGTCTTCCCCAAGTCACTGCCGCATTACGGACCGCAGGATATAGAAAAGGGTGTTGTTGAGCCTACGCCTGGTGACCAGGTTGAGCGTCTGCTTTGTGCTCTGCTTAGCCTAGTACTTAACCGGAAGAAAGACGTCGAGTACGATCTCCCTTACACCGTTTTACAACACTACGATTCCCAGTTTGTACATTGGGGTGATGCGCGAGCTTTGGTTATATTGAAGTGCGCCGTTTAAATTGCATCTTGCTAATTCGGCTGTCTGGTCTCGTTTAGGAGAGGTCACTATCAACGCGCCCTTGAAGAAGCTGTACAAACACATCAGTCGCAATGGCCAAAGGCATGGCAGGGAAAGAGTCCTCTTGCAAATGGAGGTGGTTATATGACAATGACTCCAGAGGAAAGGGTAGGCAACGTACCAATGGAGATTGGATTCCATCCTATACCCAGCTCTAGGCTAACACGCCCTTCCTAGATCCAATTGCTTTCGACATTGACCCTTTGGGCCCTCTCCTCCTCCGAGTCTGTCCAGGCGAAACTCAAAGAATCCTACAAACAGTCCAGACACGATGGGGACAGGAACCAACCACTGTCCGTTCAGCCTTGGGGATCAGATACCCTTAAAAGGCGATACTGGCTCATAGAAGGCTTAGACGACACACACTTCCGACTCTACAGAGAAAGCAACCCAGCTTTGAAGACAAACACCTGGTGGAGTGTAGCTGGCACAATACCTGAATTACGAAGTGTCGCTGAGTCGCTAGCAACAGAGAAGTCCCGTGCGTCTCGAGAGCTCAGTCAGAAAATACTCAACAGCATCCCACGGTTTGAGAACTCAGAAGAGGTAAGCTGCAGCCTTGACGGAACCCGCATGACTCTCCATATATTGCCAGCTTCTAATCGCTACTTTAGAAACGCAAACGACGGGACTACCGAATTGCGCGGAAAGCTGCATTCGCCCGTCCTGAACCTGGCTTCTCTCTTTACGAGGGTCGAACTCGTGGAAAGAGAATCAAGTACACATTTTCCGACGACGATGATTTCTCATCGGGAGCCTTCCCGTCTAGAAGGTCTACTCGCAATCAATCACGCGCTTCATCGCCTCCGGAAAATGCTGGCCCTACTTTCACCGCCTCTGGCCGCCAGGTCAAGTCCAGAGTAGGTGGCATTTACGGCCAGACCGTCCTTGGCAAACGGTCTCACGAAGCTACCGACGACGAGCCGTCTAACAACCCTGCTGGCGGGGGAGGCGGTATGGAATACGGCAGGTCACGCAGAAGCATGCGTGGCCTCCAAAGTAACGGCTGGGACGGCCTAACACCCAGCGACGAAGATAATAATACAGAAGGCGACGACGAGGCCTCGAGCGGGAACGACTGGGATGAAGACGCTGCTGACGACGAAGACGAGGATGAGGCTGGACTAAGCGATGCAGACTCATTCACAGCAGATTTACAGCTGGATAGAAACAGAAGTCTGATTGTTAAACTGAAATATGGTAAAGGGAATGCAGCTAAGACACCTCAGCCAGAGCCCGCACTGCTTCAACCATTAAAGGAAGAACCGCTGCATAATGGCAACTTGCCTACAAGCACATCTACAGTGATACCCATTAATAGCCATATTTTGAACGCTGCTACTGAACCCGCTAGTGAACCCGCAAAGGAACCAGCAAAGGAACCCGCAAAGGAACCAGCAAAAGAGCCTCGTATAGCCATTGAGATGCCACTCAGGCCAGAAGTCCCAAATGACGGCCTACCGCTTAAGCAGGGCGCTCACACCCCTACTATCCCTGAAAAGCAAGAGCCCCAAGTCCAACCACCTTCATACAACGGAGTTGTCTAATACTAGGCATGTGGGCTCTGTTACAAAATCATATCTTGTTTAACCTAACCTCTTGCCTAGTTAATGCGCTTATTATGAGTAATTAACTGGGTGGTAATCATGTCCAAATAACTGTTACTTACTATCCATATGAAAGGAAGAAAGACAGGATAGCCTAGTCATCATCCTTAACTGATTCTGTACTCTTCCATGTTCCATGCGGATGGCGTCTTCTTTATTAATGTCATTGCATAATATTACACTTGATCATTTGTGCTGGTCTGTTGTCTATATAAAAGAATATTGCATCGGCTTCCAATGCAACAGCATATAAAGCAAATATGTGTGTATCATATGGTATCCCAAGCCAGGTAACGCCTAACATCCCATAATTTCCACTGCTAAAAACAATCTTGGATCCTGCTAGCCTGCAGTCATAGCTCTGCCATCCTCCAGTTCGTCATTTTCAACCATAGCTGGCGTAGACTTAGGCCTGTTGCTCTCCCGCTAGCCCGAGCTCCGCGGGTCCAGTGTCGCCATCCAGCCATCGCAAGTGTGACAAAAGCGCCTTGTAGAAGAGGTAATAGCATCTAAACCAGCAAGGCATTAAGTCAGTATATGTCTCCAAACGATGGGATCCGTAGGCCTGTATTCGTACCTGATCCCTCAGTGTGATCCAAGCAACATGCTGCCAGCTCGAAGCCTTGGAGATACTCGCAAGATAGCTCTGTTGGAATCGCAGGTCTGGTATGGGAGGTAGCTGCGGACGCCCTAGTCTGTGTTCTCTGATTTCTCGCTCCGGATTCACGACGTCCGTAGAGATGCTCGCAGTGTCCGAGTCGACCCCGTCAAGGCCGTCGAGATGGTGTTGGGCCCCCGGTCCAAACCCGTGAGGCCGCTGGCTGTATATCGATGCAGCCTGGATGTTATCTGCTATCCGCGCCGCGGCGTCGTCCATTGTGTCGTTAGGGCTCGTTATATCGGCACTCCGGTGCTCGTCGACGTAGAATCCAGCAAGCCGTCCGTCTGTCTGTTCGGCGTTGTTGATATCGAATGGAACCGATCGAACTTGCGTCGGAGTTTCTGCTGGCGGTTTTGGGCGTGTTTGCCATGTTTGCTTTTTTTTCAGCCTTTCCGCAATAACACTAGAAAAACACTAAATTCCATCCTCCTCGTCCCCCACTATATATAAGTAACATCCTAGAGACATCCCGCCGAACAACTATTCTCCGACTTAATCTCAAGACAATCCAACAGTCCGACTCTCTTCACGATGGCTGCTGATCAGGGTTACGCGCTTCTCTGCCTCGAGAACCCCCTCTTGGGTTTGTCTGCCTCTCAATTGTGTCCGTGGAGTCGCTGCTAACAGTAGTTCTCTTCTAGATATCCAGGGAGAGGGGTACGTGCATCCGCGAAGAATGAGACTCCTTTTGTGATTAATTCCTCCTTGGTTGACTGATGAATCCTCTTGGTAGAGACCAATCGACTCTCGACAAGTATGAGGTCAAGGCAAACGACGCCATTCTCGCTGAGGAGAAGCACATGGGCCTCTATGAGGACTTGATGCAGAACCACAATGCAAAGCTCATCCCCGGAGGAGCTGCTCAGAACACTGCTCGTGGAGCTCAGGTATGGATATCTACAGGATCTACAGGCGCCCAGATGGTCTCTAAATGGCATTGCAAAGCTGACTTTGGTGCTATAGTATATTCTCCCTGAGAACTCTGTCCTCTACATCGGCTGCGTTGGCAAGGACAAGTATGCCGATATCCTCCGAGAGTCCTGTGCAAAGGCCGGTCTCCGAGTTGAATATCGCGTAGATGATGTTCAGCCTACCGGTCGATGCGGTGTCATCATCACTGGCCACAACAGATGCTTGGTTACCCATTTGGCTGCTGCCAATGAGTACAAGCTTGATCACCTCAAGCAGCCCCAGGTCTGGGACCTCGTTGAAAAGGCTAAGGTCTACTTCGTCGGTGGCTACCATTTGACCGTCTGTGTCCCAGCTATTCTCGCCCTCGCTGAGGAGGCTGCTTCCAAGAACAAGGTACTTTATCTCTCTCCCTCGGACTCTTCCCGAAATGGGCAATGGGGAGAAACCATTGGGCTAATACGAGACTCAGACCTTCATGCTCTCTCTTTCCGCTCCATTCATCCCAGCCTTCTTCAAGGAACAGCTCTCTCAAGTTCTCCCATACACCGACTTCATCGTTGGAAACGAGGCTGAGGCCCTCGCCTTTGCTAAGTCCCAGGATTGGGACACTGAAGACCTTTGTGAAATCGCCGAGAAGATGGCCAAGCTTCCGAAGACCAACAGCAAGCGTGCTAGAACTGTCATTGTCACTCACGGAACCGAGCCAACTATCTCTGCGGTCTCCAATACTGCTGGTGAAGTCACCGTTACCCAGACCGCTATCCGCAAGATCCTCAAGGAAGAAATCTGTGACACTAACGGAGCTGGGTAAGTTGTGGTTCTATTTTTCCATTGAAGATTATATTTAGCTAACGTTCCAAAAGTGATGCCTTCGCTGGTGGATTCTGTGCTGGTGTCGTTCAAGGAAAGACTGTTCCAGAGTGTGTTGAGATGGGACACTGGCTCGCCAACTTGAGCATCCGGGAATTGGGTCCATCGTAAGTTCCTGAGAATATATGTGGATTTGATCATCTACTAACGAATGCAAACAGTTACCCATTCCCAAAGCAAACCTTCACCCAATAGACTAATCACCCACTTTGCATTCGTCAAGGCTCAACCCTGTGCACCGAAACAAACGGGTATCAGGTTCCTTTAGAAAAGAATGGTGTAATTTCATAGCCGGGTACTACTAATTCGGATCAACTCCCTCCATTTGCTCCTGTCACAAGCAAACTTAACCATACCCTACATACTTTCAACCAAATACCTACCAACCGCCCACACGACTCAACAGCTACGAGATGGAGCTTAACTAGACCCCTTGATAGGGGTAGAATCAGGCTTTGATGATAAGCTGATGACAATTTCGATGACATTGTTTATGAAAGAAAAACGTAGAATAAGAATTAGTTACAGACACGTTTTCAACAACGAATGAAAATATACATGAGATCAGTTGACTTCATTACGTGTGCATGTGCTCGTCATTAAAATCGAAAGCAATATTTGATCGAAACATGGCAGGAAATGTTCTTCGTTTGAGAAATAAAGGACATGACGGTGATGCCTGGATGGTTGAAGGTTGGGAACATCACCAGGGAATGGAGAGAGGAACGGCTTCCGAACCCACTTATTTCCCAGTTCGAGCCCGTTTCGAAGCTTCTGTCAACTGGCCATCGATGTAGAGTAAGAGTAATCCTCTATGGTGGGGAATGAAGGGCAACAGCTGCACGAAGCAGGAGTATTCCCCTGATCCCTATCGAGGATATATTCTTTTCGACGATTCAAATACCAACTAAGTAGTTTCATGCAAATTTGACCACGACCACTCTCTCGGAAGAGAAATAATATGCAAAGCCAACAATCACGGGTAGGCGTTTGTCCGATATACCCGGCAACCAAGAGGTGTATTGCGAGTGCATTACAGGTCAAGCCCAGTGGAAATAGTATGTCAATATGGCTGTGTGGCCGCAAAGAGAGCGAGCTGTATAGGTTATCATCCTCCTTGTCCGTTTGGTGGTGATTGCTCACCAATAACCCCGGCATAGTGCAGCATCGAACCACGGTTTGTTCCATATGGCATATTGTTGAAATATGAAGGTGAATTGTACGGCTGGTGTGGTTGATATTGGCCAAAGGCGGTGATGGACTCCGATGGTTGAACGCCTAAGGAAGTCCCGCCAGCATAACTCGTTGCATGACCGAGACGTGGGGTCTGCATGTACTGGAGGCTGCTAGGGGACTCGTCCACGAAGCAGGAGAGAAAGGAGCTAGAGAAGAGTGTGTTGTTGTTTCCACCAGCAGTGCTAGGTATAGCAGTAGAAGGACGGCTGGTTGGAGACATTGCTTCGCCCGGCTGCGGAGCAAACGCAGTGTTCATTATACTTGGAAGTGGTGGGCCTGGGGAATAGGACTGGAAATGAGAAGGGCTCTGAGCTCCTGAGACGCCATTTTCGAACCCTTGATGGGCAAGGCTCCGGCGGTGATCCGAATTGACAGAGGCATAGTAGGAAGGTGCGTTATCACCATCAACTAAGCTCTCGGCTGGTTCCGACTCGACTAGGTTATCGACCATCCGATGCATTGATGCTGAGCCTGAGATGGATGCGCCGTCCTCCAAAACGCTCGAAGAAGGTGCTGGTTTCTGTATTTCATCTAGGTCAATGCTAGTAGAAGTAAGAGTATGACCATGTCCACGAGTCTGGCTACGAGAGTTCAGAAATTGAGGAAGGCCTTCCTCCTTGTAAACGAATAGCCTTGCATCCTCTTTATTCACCATGACGATAGGGATTCTCTCATTGCGTTCGAGGTCAAGCCCATCAATCACAAACTGTCGGATTCGAAATAGCATCTCTTTATCGTTTGAAGCCGTAGTTTCATGTCGTCTTGGTTTCGTTGCTCCGGGAGGCCCGTAACGTCGCATAGTATTAGGATGTGCAAATGGTTTGAACCCAAGGGTATTCTCGTCTTCTTCAAGGAGGTAATCAACATCAGGTAGATTGATAACGTCAAAGGTTGAGGTGAGGACAGTCAAAGTATTGGCATAACTCTTCCAGAGCTCCTTGATCTGTATACACAGTGGAGTATCCTTACTCTCAGGGGCAGATACCAATACTGGGCTATTAACAAGCAACCAACTGCTATAGTGTCGCAAAGCTGGAAGGATTGAGTAGGCAACTGAGGTTACTTTGTCCGCAGAGCATTCAAGCTCGGCTAGGAAAACCTGAAGAAGGGTGAAAAAGAATATCACGTTTAGCCTCCGTAAAAATACTTGCGCATTGGTATCCTTTGCATGACTTTCCGAGGCAATATTGATAAGGGCAAATTTCTCTAAAAGGGAGCGCTCAAGAACATTCTCTTTTAGATCAACGGTGACCTGGTGCATTATTTCATTCTCACGTTCTTCGTGTTCAGGAGAATCTCCATGATAGCATTCGGCATGCAAGAATAAGAAGGAACTAACCAGTACCGCTTGGGGGTCATTTATTGATGTTGATGGCTGTGCCTTTTTCTTCCCTGCTAGGATATTCTTGAATTCTTTTGTCAGATTTTTGTAGGCGTTGGGGTGAGGCTCTTGTGCGGAAATGGCTCGATACAAATAATATACAGCATCTAAATGCTGCTCCTCTGCAAGAGCAATGACGGCAAATTGATTGAATGGGTTTCCAGAATTCGGATTCACTAGAGAGGCCATTGAGTAGTTCTTCGTAGCACGCTCCCAATTCTTCTTCTGCTGGTCCACAAGCTCAGTTTGATAGTAACGTCCGAGGTCTCCAAGCCTAATAAGTGTAGCATGGCACGAGGAGAGTACCGCATGCTTCAGTTGGGGATCCAGAGTACCGGCAGAGTCCCGGGGCCCCTCCCCCTCCTTTTCAAACACGTACCCCTTTCTTCTCGCAACTTCTTCGAATTGCGGGAAATTGTAGGCCTTAAAATCTTCCAACAGGTGGTGGATGTACTTCTCGTAGAACTCCTGGCTAGACTTAATAAACTTGGAGTATCGGTTGATAAGTTTGCGCTTCTCAACTGGCCGCTTTTTGCCCTTTTTCTCATCTTCTTGGATATTCGATAGCCACTTTCGAAACCGGCCGTTGATCTCTAGGTGCGCATCCCAGAGGCCACTCTCGAGTTTTAGCGCGTCCATCGGATTGCGAATGTCCACTCCATCGGGACGTCCAACAGCTCCACCATCGTTATGGTAGTGTCTGGAACCCCTTCTCCCTTCCGTGAAGATCTGGAAAATAGACACCTGGCCGGAAACTCGGGTTTCTGCCAATAGCCGCTCGACTTCAGCAAATGTCGGCTCCTTTTCCTTCAAGGCGCAAGTCAGCGCCGCCTTGCACCGTTCAAAGGTTTCCTCTGCGTTCAAATGACCGGCTCCATTGTGAATCACCGATGTGGCCATCCTTCAGCCGCCTCGGTTGGACAGAACAAGAGCAACGGGCCGCCAGGCGCTCTGGAGTCAGGTTACCCCAGGTCGTTCGGCCGTCGAATTCGGAATGCGTTTCGGAGGGGACGGAGGGTGTAAGACCTGGAACAGCGATGGTGACAGCACCCACGGACGTTTGCCTGCTAGAAGTCCATCTGAGATCGCAGATGTCCTGGGCTACTTGGCCACAGACTCGCCAGTCCGTGATACCAAATAGTGAAGGGGAGTAAAAAAAAAAAAAGAGGATTCCTTCTGGCCTCGAAAATGCGACCACTTTTTTGGTGACTATTTTGTTCACGTGATGCTGCCTGGAGGTAACTCGGCGGATCGATATGCTCAAGCTCTTGCTCCCTATATTGACCTCTAGTATGGCTTTTACAGCTTGGAATTAGACAGAATCAGTATTCATGTATGTAGGAGATAGCTAGTGTGATCGATATATGCTTCATAGATAAAGAGCCATGTCTCCAAATACCTATAAAAGTACACCCTTACAAACGCCCCTTGAGAGCACCAAACCCATTGGCATTCAGTAACCTATCCGCCTCAGCCTTTTGTGCCTTGATCTTGGCCATGGTAGAGTTCTTCCTCTGCTTATTCTCACGCTTGCCCATCTGTTGGAGATGAACTTCGTCTGGGCCATCAGCAATCCTTAAAGTGCGGATGTTTGCCCACATGCTGGCAAGCGGTGTATCCTGACACACTCCCATAGCGCCGTGAGCCTGCACGGCACGGTCGATAACCGTGAGGGCTACCTGAGGTGCAAGCACCTTTGCCTCAGCAATCTCCTTGAGTGCAGCCTTTGCATCAGCGCTGTCGATGCGAGCTGCAGCATTGAGAACAACCAGACGAGCGGAGTCAATCTCAAGGCGTGACCTGGCAATCCATTCAAGAATAACACCGTGAGAAGAGAGAGGAGTGCCGAATGGCTTCTTATTCTCATCATTGGCGCGAGCAATCATCCACTCTAGGGCTCGTTCCGCTGCGCCAAGTGCACGCATAGCATGATGGATACGCCCTGGTCCCAGACGGCCTTGGATGATCTCGAAACCACGGCCTTCTCCTAGGATAATGTTGGATACAGGTACACGGACATTCTTGAAAGAAACTTGTCCATGGCCGTGAGGGGCATCGTCAAAGCCATAGACATGCAACATTCTATGGATGGTGACGCCGGGAGTTCCGGCAGGAACTAGGACAACTGATTGCTGCTTGTACGGATCTGGGTTATTGGGATCAGTTTTGCCCATGACAAGGTACAGTTTGCACCTTGGGTCACCAACACCCGAGGACCACCATTTCTATAGCAGGATTAGCATAGATGAATTTGAATATATAGGGTTGGTTGCCTACCTCTCCGTTAAGGACATATTCGTTACCCTCACGGCGGATATTAAGTCTGATATTTGTGGCATCGCTTGATGCAATATCTGGCTCGGTCATCAGGAATCCAGAACGTATCTTTCCTTCCAACAGAGGGTCTAGCCATTCTCTCTTTTGGGCCTCGTTTCCATATTTGGCCAAAACCTCCATGTTACCGGTATCAGGGGCAGCATTGTTTGTAGCCTAGACAGGGGAAATTCATGTTAGATATCTAATGGTTATTTCATCTCATGGGAACATATCGGGATATCGCCGTACCTCACTGGCAACTCGGCTCTTTCCGAGTAGCTCTGCCATCAATCCATACTCAACGTTGCTGAAGCCAGCACCCTCCTTGAAATGGTTCTTTGGCAAGAACATATTCCATAGGCCAAGTTTCTTCGCTTTAGCCTTGAGCTCCTCTATGACTGGGGGGTGCTTGGTGAATCTGGCCTGGCCTTCGCCTAGCTGAGCCTGGAAGAGAGTGTCTCTCGGGATACATTCTTTCTCAACGAATTCTTCAACCTGAAACCCCACACAAGTTAGCGATATGGCTTGATAGTGGTGATATAAAATTCTTAGAAGGACTCTTACGATATCTAGGGTCTTTCTAGCGCGCTCGCTAACGAACGGCTGGATGAGAGAAGGAATTCTAGTGGAGGCCGCCATTGTACAACTGGTCCCCAGTATGATGAAATCAATTAGCCAAAAGTGGGTTGCTAGAGATATGGACTTGCAACTTGGTCAAAGAAATCCTGAGAATGAGTTCCTTATGTATAAACGAAAGAGAGAAGTGGTACGAGGAGAAGCGCAGCCCAAGCTCGGTTCCCGGGTCGATGTTCGTTTTCCCATAAACAGGGTGAGCGGAGTTGCCGATGGAGCTCTCCACGAGCCGAGGCTTAATTTTCAGCGCGACAGGGGGAACATCAGGAGAGCATGTAGGGAGCTGCATAAGTATACATATCCCATCGTACGATATCGGACATTAAATTTACTTATTCTACAACCATACGGAGTACTGCAAGCCAGTTCTCACAATAGCGGTCCAGTTTCTGTATAATTACTATTAACTCCTGACGGATATGATGGGCTTTAGGCCTTAACCTCGGGTTCGGCTACTTGAATTGAGAAAATATACTATGACTTTCTAACAGTTATGGCTAAGAAAAAAAGGCCCGTTTCTCTTAAGGCTGAGCTTGAAGGGGTGATTTGGCAGCAAATAGCTCGGCTGGCCTCAGGAGCCGGCATTGTTTGTTGTGGTCTTGCATATTTGATGCCTCGAGGACCCTAGCTTTAGGCTCTGTCAAAACGTGTGAATAACTGGCTAATAGGAAGTCAAGTAATATCCGGGATGAGCACCAAGTGCGAACAGTTGCACGTTGAAGTGTAGCCTGCGAAAATGGATAGAGCTGAAGGGTCTCTCATGAATTTGAATTTTGAGTTTCCTTTAGAACGCTGGACGGCTAGTTATACTCTAGCAGTCAGATGCAGCGTTGGCAGCAGATGCCAAGTCACCCCGAATTTCCGCTGCATAAGAATTGTCAATTTGTCATCTAATCCAGACAGGAACGACTGGCTGGGGGCTGGGGTCCTCGTATGGCCTCAAATTCGTATGGGAGTAGGTGAAACGGTATTGATGTGCAGGATATAAATGAAGACGACCCAAAGAAATTTAGAGAGAAAAGACACATATTGGCGCTCAAATTGAACACTCTATAAGACTCCCTTTGTGCTAATAACTTCCCCTTCCTTCCCAGCAACCTTGGAAGTGGCATCTCTAATAGCCACAGCCAAAGCTTTGAAGGCAGCTTCAGCACGGTGGTGGTCGTTTTCACCCTTAAGCACGTCAACATGCAGAGTAACACCCGCCGTGTGAGCAAAGCTCTGTAGACCATGGGGAATCATTTGGCTAGTGAGATTGCCAATTTTTGCATCCTTGAAGTCAAATACGCCGACAAAGAAAGGGCGAGATGAAATGTCAATGACAGCCCGTGCAAGTGCTTCATCTAGCGGAGCATAGGCGCTGCCAAATCGCTTAATACCCTTTCGATCACCCAGAGCTGTTGACAGAGCCTCTCCAAGAGCGAGGAAGGTATCTTCGGTAGTGTGATGATCATCAACTAGCGATACGGCATGGTCAGCATTCAGCAGAGTAAGAGTAGCCAACAAGTACACCGGGTCAATTCCGGATTTACTCACTAGCTAAGTCACCAACTGTGCGAATTCGTAGACTCCATCCGCCGTGCTTTGCCAACGCATGAAGCATATGGTCTAGAAATCCAACTCCAGTCCATATCCAGATGTGCTGAGTTGCGGAGAATTGACAAGCATGGTGCTCTTCCTTTTGGTTAGGGATGCTCGATGACTCGAAGGCTTTGTGGCTATCAGGTAGGACATCCAGTGGCCCGCCATCTATGCACAGCGATATCTGTGTCTTGGTTTCCTTCGTGAACCTCTCCACATACGAGCTGCGTAGGGCTGCCATGACTCTTAAAGATTGGTATTATTTGATCCCAATCAACCACTTAACCAATTAGCTAGCTCAATATATGCCAAGCCTTTAGGAACGATCTATTCTCTTCCCCAGTCAAACTGTGGCAAGCAAAAATCCTAGCGCCGCAAGGGTTGCTTGAGGCTGTCGAGTTCTTCGTGCTTTTTCCTACTCCTTTTATGCGAAAGTCGGAGATCCATTGCGGGCTGAATTTGATATACACGTGATTGATTATTAAGCATTATGAGCCAATGAAAGGCGCCGAATATCAAATTTGGCTCTGATACACAGTATGGAGTACTCCGTAGGAGAGGGTACTATATTTATGACCAAGTGTGGATAGACGATATTGATGATGAAGGATACGTTGAAATATTTCTTTCATAGAGTACCTATGGAGTCGGAGGAATATATCGTTCTGAAGCAATCGGTTCATCTAGTACCAGCATAACAAAACATAACCAGAAAAGAAAAGGCAACAACATCACAAGAAGGCGTACGGGTACTCAGGGAACTAATAATACAATAGAATCATAAACGGGCACGGCAGGTCGTAATAAAGGTAGAAGAAAAGCAGCTCCATCATCAAACTTAGGCAGGTCCACCATCTTCAGTGCCATCACCATCAACTGCATTCTCGTTGCTCATCTTGTCGTAGGATTTCTTCCCGAGAGCCTTAGCAAAAAGCATCTGTGGCCGTCCAGCACTACCAAGTAAATAAGCGTTAGTACCTATGTTATTGCTAGAGTCCTCCGTGGACCTGTTGTAGCCGTATACTTACTTCTTGAACTTCTTTCCCTTCAAGTTGCTCAGCTTCTTGGTGCATGGACTCATGATTCCATCTGATGGGGAGATGAAATGACCGGATTGTCTAGCATGGAAATTAGTATGGGGCTGAGATACACTTTAGGTTTTTTTTTTTTTTTTTTTTTTGGGGGGGGGGGGGCTCGGAGAACACCGGAGAATACTTACTGTGAGTCACCTTCCATCTTCTCCTTGAGTACTTGTCTGTGGTATTCCATGGATTTCGTCGTAGCAGCTTTCAAGTCTGCCTCACAATCCTCGGTTGATGAGTTTTGCATGGTAAGATGGGTATTTGTAGGTCGGTCAGAAAGTGGTTGCTTGGATGGGCTGGTGATGGAGGCCATGATGACAGTCTGGTGATTTTGATTTCTCAAGTTGTGCAGATATAGGGTAATATCGAGTATTCTCGGGTCGAAGGAACTGCGTGTAGAGTGTGGATGTATGGTCTGAAGAGCGAGGTTGTTTATTTCTGGAAAAGGCGCTGGCTTTATATCGTATCGTATCCGTCAGCAATCATGTAGCGTGTGTGATCTTCTTTGTTTACATCCACGGGAAGTAAAAAAAAGTTTTTCCACTTCGCTCTCTCCTCAAGGCAAAAGCATGCTAAACGACAACGGAGCAGGGAAGGGCAGTGTAGTAGTTTCTTTTCGCATGGAACCCGTGGAACCTTGATCAACTTTTGCATGGGGAAGACAGAAAGCCATCGACCTACTTACTTGCCCTATATACTGACCTTTATTGGATTTTCCTTGCTTTTTCGACGGATAATTCGACAAATATGCAAGTAATGCTTTACTTGTTGGTGCTGTTTAACTTGTTCTGGACTGAGTATGACGGTGGGCGGATTCTTCTGCCCTTCTTTCGAGATTTCTGATGTTGACGTTTGGGATAAGGTTGATAAGCGATAGTTTCCATAGCAACAGCCTTAAAAGCTGACTCAGCATGGACACGTCAAGGCATAAAAGTCTAAACCCGGTCAATATCAGGAGGCGCTCAGGGGTTCTAGATGTAGATGTTCAAAGAAGTGGAACGACGGACGATGTTATGCCATTAAAATGATGTACGCTATGCTATCAAATAAGGATATAAGTATGATACATGCTCTCTTCTTGAAGAATAAAAAGGGGTACATAAAATACAATCGCCTATGCTTCCAAAGGTTAGATGGTAGATGTCATAAATATCAGAATCGAAGAGAATAAATAAAAGATGATCCCATCAATCGTTGTGCATGGTATAATGTAATCGACAAAAGATTAGGTGAAAGAGTCACCTTCCGGCTGTTCAGCGTCCGATTCAGACTCGTGTTTCACCTCCACGCTCTTGATAGGGCGTTTTCTCAGGCTAAGCTCCGGATCGCTCATAGTTGCGGGACTGCCGGTCGCTGACGCAGCGAGACCACTTTGCGGCTCAGGAGAGAAGCGCAATTTTCGAGTTCGCTCTGGCGTCGTGGTCCTGGAAGTTGGAGTAGGCGGGGAATATGTAAAGGTAGGATTTCCAACTTCATAATCTGTTTGTTCAGAGGGACTGCGGTGGTGTCGTGAGTGGTTGTGATGCAGGTTGTCGTCGTCTGCTTCACTTCTGCTCAGTATTGATGACCCCATCCTGCTCATGGGCGGTGGGCTAGGACTAGCAGATGGCGCTGGTGAGCCGTAAGTGACTGAAGAAGAGCGGAAGCTGCGCGTGCGAGTGACGATGTTACGTGGAAATTCCAAGTATGGTGTGCCCGAGCTGCGGGAGAATAGCACCAGGCCGAAACAGACCAGGACAAAGATGCTTTGGATGACGGCAACTCGTTTTTGAAACACGAGTTCGTCTGCAAGAACACCGAGTTGGGTAGCAACCGAATACACCTCTCGATGGTACTGTTGGCGCTGCTGCTCGAATTCTATAAAAACAGAGTGCCAGAGATGGTCATATTGTTGACGGAACTCCTTCAGCTCCTGCAGAACGGTAGAGTTAAGGTTCTCTAAAAAGGTAGATGTTTTTGCCAATTGGCGTTTCTCGACCTTGTTGAAGGCGTCACGGAGGATGCGGGATTGCTCCTCGATATAAAGGAGGGAAAGGGTAGAGTTTGACTCCAGCATTTGCAGTCTTTTGTTGACTGATTTAAAGAAGGATTCTTGGGTGGATGGGTTGGGTGGTGGTGAGGCAGGAGAAGGTGAGTATGTCGCTGAGTTCATCCTCGTTGGCTCCGTATGTGACCCATTAGCCGCGATAGATGAACCCGTAGAACTACGGCGAGTCTCTTCTCTATCAGACGTCGTGGGTGTACGAGTAGAAGAGACTGAACGTATCTGCTCTGGGGTATTGGTAGAGGTGATGGAGTCGCTGGCAGGAGCAGCAGCCTCGTCTTTCACCCTAGTAGCTGTCACAGGCTGACTTGCAATATGAGCCGCGCGTTCCTGGATGGCACACATCTTACTGGATACCAGTCCGAGTAAGATGCTCTCTGTCTCATTTCTCTCCACGAAACATCTAAGCTCATCCAGTTCACGATCAGATAGATTGGAAAGTGGAACCATTTGGTCATTAATAACCACCTCGGGGACGGAAACGTCTGGATGCACAACTACATCGGCCTCTTTCTGCTCCAGCTGCTGTTGCTGTTCGTTTTGTCGCCGCTGCTGTTCCGCTTCCTCCTGTGCATTTGCATCCTCCTCTTCATCTGCCCTCGCAGCTTCACCATCATTCTTATACTCTTCCATCATGGTGGTTCCATGCACCCTGACCAAACTAACTGGACAATAGAACTCGTTCCCATAATGGGACAAGAAGTCGATTTTCAAGTATCTAGCCCATATAAGCGGATTCTCCACCGCAAAGGCCTGCACCTGTCTAGCATTAGCAGCCTCATAAGTGCCCAACACCCGCCATTTGTCAGCCTTGATCGGATACCGGTCAGAAACACTGACTCTAAACGATCGAAAGATGGAGCTAAAGAATTCATAGTTGGCCAACACCACTGTGTCAACGAGAATATCATCACATAACTCCATAATGAGGAATTTGTCCTTGGCCCTGCACTCGTTCAGCATGTAGCTGTCTTTGTTCTCGTTAAGCACGGCTGAAGAACCGGTGCATTGCGGGTTTGTTTTCAGGACTGTAGCGGCACAGTCGAAAGATGCATAGTTGAAGCGTTCCTTGCACGTTGTTCCTGCATGTTTCCGTCGACCAATCCCCTTGCGTGGCATATTCTCAGCATCCTGGCCGTCAAGCTCGAAGATCGGCTGGGAGGGATGCTTGTCTTCCTTACCCCCGACCACAGCACCACTGGGGGCAGTGACGGAGTCTATATTATCAGGTGAGGCCTTTCCACCATCTTTTCTCTCCCATGAAGCAACGCCAGATTCGTCTGTAGAAAAGCCACCGAATTCAAGGTCGATTTCCGACTCTTCTCCCAGCCCGTCTAGCGGATCGTTCATCTGCGGTGACCGCGTATGTCGTCTTCTAGCTTGCTGTCCTTTATCCTGCCGATGCCTCCTCATGGTCTCAGCCGATTGTCCTGCTTTCGCAAGATTTTGATTCTTCCATTCTTCAAAGGAGAGGAAGTTGGAATTATCCAGCGGAGACTCCACGTCTGCATCGTCTCCGCTACCACTACTCCCGCTCTCTTTCGAATTTGAAGAATCAGACGAAGCAGTGCCTGGAACCGGAACCGTGACTGAACCCGATGCATCCTTCGAATCTGCATATATACCACTCGCAGACCTAGTTGTAGACGGCCCCTCGCCTCCCGTTGTTGCAGATGCCGCCGCTGATGCTGATGCTGCTGCGTTCCACCTAGTCTCCAAACATATCGGATACCGAATATATTCTGCTCCCAAGTCACTCACATGCGCCTGGCAGATGGTATTCGACTTATCCACGGCCATCAACCGCGATGAATCCACTGATTCCGCCGCCGCATGGCTAGGAGCAGAGCACACTGCCAAAAACGCCAGGAAAGCCGACGTTATTCGGTCCGTACGCGGGCGCCGCTTCCGCCCATGTGGCGAAAGATGTATATCCATCGCGTCGAGCGGTGTGTTGCGGTGTGGTGTGCGAGGTAGTTATGAGGACAGTCCTGCTCTCCTCTAAACAACTCCGCGAAATCGAGGGGATGTAACGTAGATTCGTATCTGTGCACCGAGATAACTAGTTAAATGAAAGGCGTATGTTTTCGCTCCCGCTTCCTGCCTGAAAATCAATCAATCATGCCTGGTAGTGAGAGACCGACAGTTGGGCCGTTCGTTAGCTGCATCTGTCCAGCGCATACTGCTCCGTCATCCCGCATATACGTACAGACATGGCTCACGTCAACCCACCAACAACCATCGTGTTCACCATTAACTTGTCCCAGTTCTCGGGTCGAGGTGGCGGTAGCAGAAGCAGCTCACGCTCGCGCATGACAGCCAGACGAGCAAGGGAGATGTCCAGGGAAGGGAGGAAATTTTTCCTTTTGACCCCTGTGCCGTGCCTGTGCCGGGCCGTCTAGGTTGATCTGGTGGCCATAGACGTAAGGCGGATATTGGTCGTGCGTTTCCCGTGCGAGCTACTGGGTTGAGCTCGAACTGGACTGAACTGTCGGTGTGCGAAAAGAAAATATATCGACGGGATCAGACAACTGAGCGAGCGGCTTGCGTGCGGTGATTAACTGGCTGATGTCGGCGTAGTCATGCATATCTGGCCTGATGCCCTCGTCGGTTGGGTTGGCGGGCGAAAGTGAAAAAAAAATTAAGCTTGCCTGGAGCCGCGGTTGCTAATTATAGGACGCCGAACCCATTGACGTTTACATCTACTGAAGCTACGACAGAAGAACTACATTTGACTACAGAGAGCGAGACAGACGAGGAGAGACAATGATATCCAGCCATGGAAAGGTCTTTCATTCAATCAATCAGTCAATCAATCAATTTTATTTTATCAGCCTTCCCATCCATCAAATCCATCCATCCAAACCGACCATCCAAACCAGCCAAACGGCAAAGCACCAACCAAAGTAAACTGAACCATCCAGATATTCGCCAAAGAATCAACACAGAAAACACCACGTCCTATCCTCATCTTGCTTCCCAACAGATTCTAAGATAGATAGTACATTCGCCTTCGCCACCTTCATCTTCCTCTTTTTCTTTTTCTTTTCTTTTTCCGTAGGACAGAAAGTAGAACAGAGACGGAAATTAAACGGGGTAGAATAGGAAATGGAAATAGAACGATTTTGTCGTGCTGGTAGGAAAAGGGGTAAGGTAGTAAGTAGGGTAGTTTGTTGTTGCTTTTCTTTTCGGGTGGATGATATTAGTGGTGCATGTTCGTATGGACGTATGATATGAATGTAAGGACAGATGGATAAGGAAGGACGAAAAAAAAAAATTAAGAAAAAGACCAAGGGTTAAAAAGAACCAAAGATAGTGAAAGTTGGAATATTTTTTTTGTTCTCTTTCTTTCTTTTCCATGGTTTGCTTGCTTTCAACAACCTCCTGCAAAGCAAAAGCCTAGTTAAGTTCCCTTCCACTCCTTCCTGCCTCTCCCACCACATCCTCCAACGCGAAGGATGGCAGAGGGAGAGAAGGGAGAAGTGGCTGCCGGCGCAAAGTCGAATGCACCGACACGAACCTTCGTCTTTTTCTTTCTCACATGTAGAGAGCGGTGTGGGTGTGGGGTATGAGGGTGGGTACAAACACAGAAGCTCGCTGTGAAAGCAGACCCGGGTGAAGGACCGTCACATCCCTTCTCAAGATGACTTGCGTCGAGGGCCTGAGTTATGATATATGATATAATAAAAGGAGTAATGAAAAAAAGTAAAAGGAAAAATAGTAGCGATGTGCAAAGTGATGTGTTCGTGGATGGACAAGAGTTGAGAGAAACAAATTATATAGTGTAAAAGGTATGAGTGATCTGCAAGGAGAACTGGGATGGGAGAAGAAATGGAAGATGTTTGTCAACAAACGCCGCAAGGAAAAGTGGTATATCACCCCTTTCGAGAAAAAAGAAAACAACGTCTTTCAATGTTCAACACCGCTTCGAAAGGGGAGTTTGTTGCTCCGCCGGGCCGACCCATATTCTGTTGGTAACAATAACAAGGCAAGTTATATAGTACAGAGGTTGATTGTTGGTGGCGATGGTCCCAAGTTAAGTTCTGTTCCGCCCATGTGGAGTTCCGGCTGGGCGGACGGTGATCGCCATGAATGTTTCGGTCCTGCGACGCCCGGGTTGGGGAAAACTGGGAGTATTTCAAAGGTCGAGAGGGAATATCAAACGCACCGCAGCGAAGTCGACAGGGTAAATAGGTAACAGGTAATAAGGAATGCAGACCAGACCGTTGAGTTGTAAAAGTGCGCATAAGGTTGAAAATAGAGCTGAGAAGAGGTATAATAAGACAACAAAGGCTCGCTAAAAACTCCGATAGGATTCCCAATATAAAAGAAACAGAAGTGTAAAATATATTATTCAGGCTGTAGAATTGAAGTGTCGTTGAGTCATCTTGAGAAGGATGGGGCGTTAGGTATATAAGTGGTTGAAGTGGAGAGTATATTTGCTTGTCGTGAGATGGAAAAAACCAAGGGAGATAAGGGAAGCAACTAGGCTTTCCAAGGAGGATGGAGAAACTACGGGTGTAGATCCTGCCACCCGCCGACAAAGTCGAATTCGTCATCAATGGCCGCCGGGGAGTAAATGGGGATGTGGGGGTAATGCTGGCTTCTCTTTGGTTTGATCGTCTGGTCCTTGTCGCGACGCCAATCCTTGCTGAGCATGTATGGCTGGACGATGGGCTGTTGCTGGTGACCGTTGTAGCCACGGCTGTCCTTTGACTGGAACTTCTTCTTGGTCCAGGTGCCGTGGTCGTACTGTGGTTCCTTGCGCCAGCTGGGAGCCTTGGACTTGGGGGTCGAAGCAGCACGGTAATCCTTTTCAGGCGTGTGGTTCATGCGCTTCTTGCCAAGGGCAGCCCATTTGTCCAGGATGGTGTTCTTGGAGGGCGAGTGACGACCGTGAGGGACAGGGGTGTTGCTGCCATCTCTAAGAACACTGCGTGGCTTGGATGGTGTGACAGGGGTAACGGCAATGTTCTTCTTCTTCTCGTCCTTGACGATGGGAATTGGCTGAACATTGAGCATGGACGACGGCTCCTCGATTTCAGACAGTCCAAGACCGGCAACGTCCGGGGTGTTGCTCTCCTTGCTCCAGGTACGGGAGTTCTGGGCCTGGCGGTTGCGCAGACGAGCCTCCTCGAGCTCGGACTCCTCCTCGTCCCAAAGGTCACTCCAGCTCTTGGACACTTGGTCAGAGCTGCGCTTGCCAAAGACAAGGGACATGGATGGAATGGGGCGAGCTGCCGAGGTAGGCAGAGACTCGCTGATGGGAGCTGGACGAGGAGCGTTGCGTAAGGCGGATTGGCGGGCCTTGATCGACTTGAAGGAGGCACCCAAGCTTGAATCCAGAGTGGAACCAATGGATGGAGAAATGGCGTGAGTCGAATACCATGAAGTACCATCCACCTCCGATGCCGGAAAGAGATCCTCGCTGTAGCTCTCGGTGTCTGGGATGACGGAGAGGCGACGACCACCTTGCTGCTGAGGGGAGACCTGGAGAGCCTTTGCCCATGGGAAGGATTCTCCCTGGTTGACCTGCGGCGTCTGGATGGACGGGGTGCGGAGAGGCTCACGGTGAGCACTAGCAGCAACGACGTCACGATCCTCGGTGCAGAAGTCATCGAGAGACTCCTCATCGGTGGTGAAAGTGACGGCACGCATGATGGCCTCTCTCATACCGGCAAGCGATCTCTTCTCTGGGTTGAGGGCGATGGAGTGTCTGAGCACCTCAAAGGTATCCTGGGACATGTTCGGGAAGACGTCAAAGAGCGATTGTCGGTCACGGGAGTAGTCTGCGAAGAGAATATCCGACTCCGTTGGGGTGACAAAGGGGTTCTTTGCAAAGAGAATGTTGAGCAGACAGATACCGATGGACCAGATGTCAGCTTTGGCAGGGGAGTAGCCAGCCGCGGTGGGCTCGTACTGCTCCGGAGCCATGTAGCGGTCGCTACCGACACAGGCCTCAAAGGACCAGGGGCTGCTCGTGGCCAGGCCAAAGTCACCAAGCTTCATGGAGCCATCCTGGCAGAGGAAGATGTTCTCTGGCTTGATGTCTCTGTGGTAGAGACCCTTGGAGTGCATGAACTCGACGCCGTCGATGAGCTGGAGCATAAAGTCACGTACGTGTTCAGTCTCGAGTGGCCCACGGCTGTTGCGGATAGCCTCGTACAAGTCACCCATGGAGCAGTACTCGAGGACCAGGAAGATGTGGGACTGAGTCTCGAAGCTGCTGACGAGGTTGACGAGGTTTGGGTGCTGTCCGAGTTTCATGTGGCACTGCATCTCCTCTGAGCGGTCGTCGACGGAGAGGGGAGAGGACGGGTCCGCAGACGAGGGCTTGGTGAGGCACTTGATGGCTACCTGCTCCCCGGTGAGGGTGTCGTTTGCAAGGAAGACCATGCCAAAGGATCCATGGTTAAGCGGAGCAACTGTCTCGAAACGTCCGTCGAGGAGTTTCCCCTGGATAAACTTGTCCCGCAAGCAATCCATGATAAGTAGCTGGACTTTGTGGAGAGGGGAAACCTGACGGAAAGGAGAGCCAAAGAAGCACAGGTCCTATGACCGAACAAACGCAGACAAAGCAAAGCAAAGCAAAAAGGAAAAGAAAAAAAAAGAACAAGAGTGGTGGTGTTGTCGTTGATCAGGCTGTCATATAAATGTTGATTTGAGAAGATGGACCGTGAAAAAAGATTGGAAAAAGGTTAAACACAAGGAAATCGGTTCGCCGTCCGCGAGAAAAAGCTGAGATTGCACCCAAGGCACCTCGCTTGGTTGATGCTGGTTGAACGAAGAAAGAAAAAAGAGAGAGAGCTGGTAGAGATCGTTATGACTGCATTTGAATGTTGTGTCCGAGGTAAGAAAACGAAAGCTGTTCGTTTAACGTCGGTGTAAATGAGTCGGTTGGTAGTTGTTTTTTTGTTGCCAAAATGATAGCCAGTAAGGAGAAGTAAATGAAAGATGCCGGTAATGAAAAAGTTCGAAAAGAAGGGAAAGAAAAGAATTGAACGCTTCGTTGCAAGGTCGTGAGCTGAGAGGGAAAGACGAGAAGGAGAAAGGAAGTGGAGGAAGGAAGGGCGAGACGAGTATTATCGCTTGAATAGAGTGACTATGAGACCAAGGCGTGCCTGCAGAGGGGTCGAAGGTGAGGTCAAGATGAGGGTCACGTTTGAGATAGAGGAGCCAGAGTCGTGGAGCAGGCTCGGCCTTGATGACGAGTCACAAAATTCAGCGATAATAGACGGCAGCTTCCCCCGGAGTCGATCAACGTGGAAGGCAGTTCGACGTGTATGATCGAGAGAGCAGCGAGCAGCGAGAGCTTGTCAAGGTGGTCCGGACAAAGCTATCAGAGCTGTCTGTCAGAGCAACTGGGTTCGCGAGAGTAGTGTGTTGAGAGGGTCCCGAGATGTTGCGAGTTGGCGAGTTGAAGTAGCAGTCAGTCTCCTGCGGTAGATGACTTGACGGTTTGACTCAGAGCCGACGAGAGACGGTCATGCTATAAGAGGTGGCGAGCAAGCAGACGCTAGTCGTAGTCTTTATCGGTATTCGACTGTCTCAAGTGTACTCTGGAGCCGCAGTGGTGGTTGTGGTGGTGGTCGAGGTGAGTCAACGTCAGTCAACGGTAGCAGCTGTGACTCGAGTACAGTAGCAGGAGTCCAAGAGGCGAAGTCGAGGAGAGAGTTCCAGGGTGAAGGCGAGGTCGAGACGAGAAGAGAAAGGGAGTCGGCGGTAGGTGATGGTGGTGACGGCGGGCGAAGGAAGAAGAAGAGATGAAGTCGAGGGTGAAGGCGAAAGGTGAGGTTGAAGGTCGGAGGGTTGAGATGGGATGACGAAGAGGCGGACGAGCAGGAGAAGAAGAAGAAGAAGAAGAAAGAGGAAGATCGGAGAAAGGAGGGGCGGGTGACTAAGCAGGGGAAAAAAGCAAGGAGGTGGGAAGAAGCAACGAGAGGCCGTGGAAAGAAGAGGGACCAGAGGGCGGTGAGGGAGGGGACGGGCGGCAAGGGGGTGACCGGGCGGTACTTGCGAGCGCTAAGACGGCTGGGTGGCAGAACAGGTACCGCGCGGTAGTGAGGGCGTGGCAGGAAGGGGCGGCAGTGGCAGTAAAGTGGGTGTCTTAGATAAGCAAGCAAGGGTACTTCCTCATGTCAGGGACCAGAAGTCAAGATAGACGAACCGGCTGGGCGACGACGACGATGAGGACGACGGGACAACGACGATGATGACGAGGATGAGGAGATAATGAGATAATGACGGTGATATCCACAGTCAAGTGGAAGAGGCTGATGGTGGATGGCCGACGATGAGGAGACGGATGATGAGAAAAGACGTGATGATATAGAGAGATGAGTACCTGGCTGCCTCCAGTACCTGCCACAACGCAGTGCCGCCTGCTAACTGCCTGCTCGAGTTCAGTCGCAGCATCTAATTATTGCCACAGCACAGCCGAGAGTCAAGCGGCCAGCATGGAACTGTCGAACGCTGCAGGCCAGCAAGGAAGCAAAAGCCAAAAGGCCGTCTCTCGAACTCTACTTTCGCCTAACACCCAGCATGCGAGGACCCCCTGCATGAGGTACTTCGACACTAAGTAAGGGAGACAGCGCAGGTATCTCGGGATGTTGGTTGGTCAGGCCAAAGACACACCACCATCACCTTCTTCCGCGTTGTTGACAGACGGGCACACCATAAACAAACCGCCAGTCTCTCAGGAGATGGCATGATCTTCATTTCTTCCACCACCACACCCCCGCTCACCCACCGATGTACACCTATTATTGTGCTCTCACTACTAACCGCCCGCCCGACCGACCAACCGACCAGCCGACCAAGTCAGCAAAAAGATCCAGTCCAGCCAACGGAGTTGAAACCACGGGTGTCGTGTCCACCCGTTTCTCCATGTTTCGACCAGAAAATGTACTCTATACTTCCGGCGGGAGAGGCATACCGAAGTAAGTAACGTTCCCCCCCTCCTCCTCCCAAGCCCAAAGCCCAGAGCAAGAAAGATCCGAGCGAGCCCAAGATGAGGACGAGAGGAAAGGTTAGGTTGGGCTGGGCTGGTTGGTGGTGGTGGTGGTTGGCGTGGGAGGGTTCGACAGCAGCATACATGCATGCATCATCCCTGTCGACAACTACTTGACTACGACACCCCTCGAGAAAGAGTGAAGAAAGAAGCAAAGAGACAGCCAGGCCACCCACACACACTCTCTCACACCCATGCAGTGTACACACTCACTTCAAAAAGTACTTCACTCTTACCATAGTCTAGTGCTTGCATGCCTGTCCTCATCTGGGGCGACATGACGCCAGCAAGGCCCGAACCACGGAAGGGCCTTCTTGTGCCATCGTCCGTTTCTTTGCTTTTTCCCCCTTTCCCTTTTCACTTTTTACTTTTCTTCTCTGGAGAGGGCCGGGTTCTCCTATAAGTGGTTGGGCCCAAGCGATCTCCAGAGCCATCTTCACTCGGATTGGGGCTGGGGTAGGTTACCGATGGAGACACACCTGGAGAACATCTGGACACTTCTTACTCAGAATTGGAGCAGAAAAAGGAGTTATACGTAGGCTCTACCATCTACCAGTCTATCTGTCCTCTTCTGTCCCCTCTTCACCTGACGAAGTTCATGCCGGCGCTGATGATGCCGATTGCTGATGACGCTTAATTGATATGGCACAGCATAACATAACCAACGCACATCAGCGGAGTCTCCGTCAATGTATACATGCACATCCAGTTCGAGCATATCGAGCAAGGACGGAGAGTAAAAGGGAAAGAAAAAGGAAAGACGACGAAAAAGAGCAGAGATGAAAAAGAAAAGAAAGGAGATAATATGCAGATGGGATGCAGATGCATACTTCACCGCCTCATCTGGTCTTCTTCTTCATGCAGAGAACGACCTTGATAGGGAGAGGCAGAGAGGGTGGTTGGGAGTTCGACTTCAGGCCGTCCATCTCCTACCTCTCCCTCTTTTCTTTGCTTCTTCGTCGCTTCTTCGACTGTGCAAGGGAAAGACAGGTTTATCGGTCTGCTCTTCTCAATCATCTGGCTACTACTCTTTTGCCGTGCGACTTCAACATCCTCTGGCGCTTTCCACAGTTTACGGTTACTCGCCGGTCATGGTCACTCTCTCACAGTCCATCGTAAGACGGACGCCACGTCAACTCTCGTCTCATTTCCTTACCATCTATTTAATAATGAATAATAATGTTAAATAGAGAGCAACAAATACTATGGAGTACTTCATCCATGCACTCGTCGTGCCGCCGGAACTGGGCCTGCTCTTCTCCGACTCGTCCAGGAAAGGTACCCGAGTTACATACTTCCATCAACGTCTCGAACAGACCCTGCCAACAATTTCAATCCCGTCTCTTCCACTGCAGCCCGATTGGAGAGAGAGAGAGAGAGGATTGAGGGGAAAAAAACTCTTGTTCGTCCCTTTTTATGCCCCGTCATGGCCTTGCGTTATGGTCCGTTTCATCTCGGTGCATATTAATAAAGCCAGGCATAACCATCCATATTATTATTAGTTATATCGCTCAGTCCCAAGTGCTTACTCTGGCATATACTTAACCTCTCTTGTCCTGCAGCAGCAGACTCGGACTCGAGTAACAAACTAACCAGCCCATCCAGCCTGTTCTGTTTATCTCTCATCGTCGTTTGCAGTGACCTCTCTCGGTGCTGGTGCAGAGTACATACGGAGTACTACTCCGCACACTAACATGTAGTTAATGCCGCCGGCTTAGTACTACTAAGTGACCGCAGCAAGTGACTTTCCAGGCAGTCAAAAATTATGCACTGCACGCAGTGGCTCGCTGGTTATTCCACTGGCTAGTGAGCAGTGGCTGGCGATGTGTCCGCTTGCTATTCATCATGTACGACGGGAATGACCCTTTTTGCCGCTCTGGTCTTTGTTTATCAAGGCCATTCATTAATTGATGCTGTCCAACGTGGCCGTACGAGATACAACCTCCTCTCAGCATCGTCTCTTTCTCGTCTCTGCTTTATTATTGTAACGACGTCACTACAAAAAATGACCACCAGAGCAAGGTTCAAGTCAAGAAACGGCTTCTTCAGGATCATCCAGGCGCTTCGCGATGATACGGCCTGTGTTTTGCTTTTTTACCCCGGATTTCTCTACGCACCCCCCTGTATCAGCCCATCAGCGCATCCACCCAAGCGTCCACCACCCGCCCTGCCCATGACGATGATGGCGTCAGCGTGTTTCTGATTGTCTCTGCTTCCCTTCCGTCGATGGGCCGACGATCCCTCATGCACGGGGTCTCAAGATGAAGAATAATAATTAACATCCAGCATTTGAACATCCACTTCGAAATCAATTCCATCTTCAACTCCCAACATCGGCCTGGGGAGAAAAAGCAAAGAACGGGACACGAGACGAGAGACGCCCGCGTGATACCTTGCTTTATTCGATGATTTACCTGGTTTTTGTTTGTACGCTGCACACAAGCTGGACTAGTTGCTATCGGGCCTCACTAGTCGAGTATTATTATTGATTTTGATTGCTTTCGGTCATTGCTATGTATCAACCTTGATCGCCAGAGACACCCGACGGGCGAGCGGCCGTGGCTTCACGCCGGCCTCTTAGTTAGTCGCTTCCAGAGGTCCTCAGTACGTCAGAGGCTTGAAGCATTGATGGCTTGATGGGCGTCTGCGAAGGCGCTTGAGCGGGACGAGGAGAGGGGGTGTCTTGCACTAGAGACAGACTATGTCGGCCTGGCGCTGGAGTCTGCTCGGTGAGAACACTCGAGATACCCGGAAAAAGGCCTCTATACGCCATTCAGTCGCTCGCTCACTCACTCACTACGCTGCAGTGACGTAGTTGGTATTCTTTCATCCTGGCTTGTGGGCTGGAGATCTCCTGAGATATACCCTATGACTTGCCATGGAGAGAGGTCAGAACAGAACTCCCTGTTCTCAGGCATAATATTTAACATCAAGGTCCTTCATCAATCAAGTTGTATATCCTCCTCTGCCTCTGTTTCTACGGAGTGCTTCTCTGCATTTACTTCCCTCAGTATTTGCCTCCCCCGCATTCCTCCATGCATGCCACATACTGCATGCATGCATCCTATCGACTGGGCAACCTGTGAAACGGCGTCAACGCCATGAAAAAGTGGACAAGAACAAGACTTATCCGCGTGCTTCCTGGGCCTTTTCTTACTTCTAACTCGTCGCAAAAATTGGCTCGGGTCGAGACTTAAGGTTCCGAGGGTCGCTGAAGTCTGCTGTGAAGTCTAGGATGAAGCCTACCTACTATGAAGTCTACTATGAAGTATACTGTGAAGTCTACCGTGGTGTGAGAGGGCTGTCTGTACGAAGAGATAGGGGTGGTTGGCGGCTGGGCGTTGGAAAGACGAAGCTCAATTCTAAACTCAGTCGAAAGCTAGATAGCATGGATTATGTAGTTATACATTCATATTATATTCATGGTCATGGTCATGGTCGTGTTCATGTTCACTCGTCATGGGCCAGCTCAGATAGACCATTCGTTCTTGTTATCCGCCGGGCTGATGAAAGGTTCATCAAGCTGCTTGATAGCGTGCTCGCCGCATAGTATACTATCACCACCACCACCACATCATTAGCACAGCTTCCCCCGCAAATAGTAGAAAAGAAATAAACTCACCAGGCTTCGGCAATCAAACCATCCAATTCCTTAATGATCTTCTCCCTCTTAGCGCCAATGCTAGTCCCCTTACTCATTTCAGCCTGTAAATCCCGGATATGCTTCTTTTTCCCCGTCCCCGCGGCGTCCATCACCTTCTTGCCTAGACAGTCACTATGGAAAGCATGCTGGCATGGGAACACAAAGAACTGTCTGCTCAGCACTGGCAGCGAGCAGATCCAGCATTTCTCGCCGGGCTCGACGATCGCATAGCGGGATCCCAGCGCCGCGGTCTCAAGGCGAATTTGTTCCGCTACATGTGCGGAATTGTCCATTTCCTGACGGAGCGTGTCAATGTGCCGCGAGTAGTCCTCTAGTGCGGTGCAGATTTCATCCTTGAAGTCATCTATTACCACGAAATCAGGGAAGAAGGGAATCAGGTCTTCGATGCGTAGCAATTCGCATCGGCGGAGGAATTCAATTGCCTCCTTGATCCCGATGCCGGGCTGATGGATCTTCTTTTCTGCCACGAGCAGCCAGAGCTTCTTGCGTAGTTTGTCGTTCCCTTCTGGCCTGTCGGCGACAAGGGCGGCGAGCTCGATGTCGTTGTGTTTGAGGGCCAGGGTGACGCCTTCTTGGTACTGCCCCATCATGCTGTAGATGTGCACGCAGGACTGCACCCGTTTATGCTGGATGCATAGGCGTAGTGCAAAGTCGGCGTCATAAGGGGGAGGAGAGGATGGCTGGGATTCTAGGTATTGAAGTAGAGCGCCCTCGGATGTCGATGGGTGCGAGGCATAGATGGATATTAGGGTATTATGTACGGCGGCAGAAGGGTTGGGGTGGTTGGCGATGATGAAGTTCAGGTATCTCGTTGCTTGATTCTGGGACAGGGACGTCTTGGTGTCCTTATTGTAGGTGAGCAGGGCTGGAATGAGCTTCTGGGAGTCTAGGCCCGTCTGTCTCATCAGTATGTCCACAAACTCGCTGGCAGAGTATGTCATTAACACGCTGCTGTACTTGTAGAACACTTCTGGGTCGGTCTGCTTCTTCAGCACGTTCAGGGCCTCTGCCCATTTCTCCCGTTGGACCCAGTACGACAGCACGAAGTTGTGGTCATTGATTGTGGTTGCAAAGTACAGCAGCTCCTGTTCCCGCCCATGGCTGCCTATAATGTCATAGACTGTCCTTGGGTCCAGATCGGCCTTGTACTTGTTCACAAACTGCTGGAACTCAGAGCGTATGGTCTGGATATCGTCTTTTGCATCGTCTTCGTTGCCTCCCTCGACCAACTCGGCCTTGGTAGCAATGGTATCATCCAGAGAGTTCAGCTTCGACATGAAGACTTCAACCAGCCAGCTCGATATCATCATTCTTTGCATAGTAGCCGACTTCTTGTATGTTGATAGCTGGGTGAGAAGATACTTCCTGAGAGCATCATGTTCTCCCTTGTCAATAAACGTGAGGCAAACCTCTTCAAAGCTTTTGCTACTTTTGCCCCAAACTGCAGCTGCTTCGAGGTACTGTCCCTTGCTGGCTAGGTGGTCACCCGAAGCAGTGGCTACGGCATCCTTTTGCGTGACGCCGTGGGCATAACGGAGTGCAGAGTCAAACTGCTGTTCTTTCAACAGGATCCTCCATACGTCCCTGTCCTCGTCATTGGCGGATATCTCATATATCGCCTGGCCAGTAAAGAGCCAGTAGGTATTCATCTTTTGATCTGCAACCAGGCCGAGGGAGCTTTCGCCCGGCTCAAGCACTGCTTGATCGTATACGATCTCTCCATTTAACCGGTTGATCGCGACGATTCTCCCTTCAACCAGTGTAAGGATATGCCATTGTGTCATGGTCATCCCCTTGATAGGGTCTTGGATCAGCTTCCTGCCTCCCCTCGCTGATTCTGTAGCCGGCAAAATCGAACGGGAGACCATCTTGGCCTTGTCAAATATCCTGCTCCCTCCATCCTGGTTGGGAGCTGAGTTGGGTACAGTACCATGCAGAACGCCCAGTGAAGAAAGCCAGGCAAAGTGCTTTTCCTCTGCTCTGCCGTCACTGTGCCCTTCTTCCAAGGGGTCCGGCTGCATAGCTAGAAGGGATGGTGCCGATAGAGTAGCGCTGGTAAGTTCGTGAATAACGGGTGTCTCCTTGCGGAACAAGTCGATGTATATCGATCCTCCTCCTCCTCCATCTTTACCGTGCCTCCCTATCTTCCCCGTGAAATAGAATATCTTCCCGTTCGACGAGACGATGATTTGGCGGAGATCCTTCCTACCACCCACAAAGTCCACCCAAACACCCGTCACCGCCAGACTAGGCACCTTGTACACCGTGTTGACATATCTCTCGTCCCTGCGGTAGAACTCGGAGGAAGATTCGATGTATACTTCGTACAGGTTCCCGTCCGTCGAGCCCACGAGAATCTCTCTAGTTGACGCTGTAGGTAAGGCCGGGTTCCAAGCAATGCATTCTATCATCACCCCCTTGAGGCGCGAGAGCAGTTTAGGTTGTCGGGACTGGGTGTGAAGATAGTAGTTCTCCCCCAGAGTAGTCGATATTATCAAATGCGAGGCAGAAGGGTCCAGAAACATGCGGCGGATGACGCCTATCTCAGATGATTTCTTCGGCAGGTCGATATCTAAAGCCCAACGTCAGTACCAACAGCAACAACAACAACAACGACGACGGAGAGAATTAAAGGCGTAAGAGCGCACCGTCAATATCTTCTGCATTATTCAAGTCGATCCTTAGTATCCTACCCGTCGCAAGCGCCAGGATGAGCACATCGTTGGCTACCTGGGCTGCGACGAAGTCTGCGGCGATGGAGAACTTGAGCTGGACCTTCTTGACGCTGAAGATGGGCAGCGAGGACTCGGCCAGCTTGTCCAGGCTGCTGGCAGCTACATAGCCACTGGATCCGTCCAGCGCCATGGTGCGCAGTGAAGGGCGGTTTAGCTGTTATACCATCGCGGGTTGTCGGGTGGAAGCTGGAGCTGTCGTAGTTGTTAGTTGTTAGTTGTCGTTGTCGTTGAAGTTGAAGCTTGACGTTGAAGCTCCCAAAGTGTTATTATTCTTCGCTCTAAACATCGTCAACGCCAAGCTGGGCCGGCCGCCAGTAGACACAGCATAGAAAGCAGAGACAGCGAGCTGGACGGCAGAGACGAGGGTATAACTGGGTGTTATGAGGCAAGGATGGCCATGTAGAGCTTCTACTCTTCTTTACTCCCTGCTCTGCGCTGCTGTTTTCCTTGTTTTCCTTCCTCGATGTCGCAGCTAACTGGAGAGACAGCACAGCCATCACCATCCACCGCCATCCAACACGGCTCCAACGGACATTATGAAGAGACTACCAGGCAGTTGATACTGTTTTACTGAGCAGGAACCTGCCGGTCGATGAACTAATGCAGCATCTTGCGGTCAGAGTGCTCCTCGTCGGTTTACACAGCGGGATACAGCCTACACCGTTACTATTCAGCTTAGAGACATGAACAGCATCTACAACTACTACTAGGAGAAGAGAGCCGAAGCAGAGAAGGCAACCGTGGGCCGTTTACCACTGCTCCATGGCCATGTCCGTTGGGCACGAGATGCTTGGACGATAGGCCCGGCGGAATAAACCGGTCATCGCTTCTTGTCCGCAAGGCTGCGAGCACGCAGGCACTCCTGATGAATGGAGATGACCATGGCTAGTTCGTGATCTTGCTGCCAATCCTCTCTCCACTCTTGCCAGGGGAACAGATGGCCCATCTCATTATGATCATGCCGGGTGGGTGTCTTACCATGTTTATGCACGGCAATGCGCAGGACCAGCAGCATCAAAAGAGCATCAAAAGAGCAGCAGAAGAAAGAAAGCTCTCCTCCAGCAGACGGGCATAACTACCCTGTATACACTCCCTAACTACATGCTCCTCCCTCCAGGCCCTGCCCGTAGACATCTAACTATGTACATTGATATCGCCTGCCCGCCGGCCGCCGTAGCGCAGTCCCGCGGTGCCAGCCTGTAGCTAGCCAGTCCCAGCACTCCCCACCGCGCTGCCCTCTTTTCCTCTACTCTCTACCACTGCTACTACCACTACCATCTATCTATCCCTCTATCTTCCATCCTCGCCGGCGCTCCAACTCCAACTCCAACTCCAACTTCAGCTCCAAAACCCCGTCACGTGATCACCCCCCGGCGAAGGTTTTTTGGCTGCGAAAGAAACGAAAAAGACGGCGAAACGACAGGAAGAAACGAAGAAAAAGAAGAAAAAGAAGCAAAACGCCCGGGACGAAGTTCGCTGTCGCTGCTCGACCGCATCTCCCTCTCGCCCGCCGTCCTGACCTCTGCTGCGACGCCCATTGCCGTCCTGCCTCGCCCGCTCGCTCCCTTCTGTCCTGCCCTGGCCTGGCCTGCCCTTTCGTCGCCCGTCTAGATCCCGCGACCCAGCAGCCAGCCAGCCAGCCAGCAAGCCAGCAAGCCAGCAAGCCCATGGAGCGTGTCCTCTGAAGCAGAGACTGCCTGCCCCTTCGTTGCCAGCTCCAGAGCCACCACCGGACGGGCTGAATTGGCCCTCCAGCAGCTCCAGCAGCCATGACGGGAGCTCCGCCGTACTCCTCGCGCTCGCCGTCCCAGCAGGCTCGCTATCTCTCCTACTCGCCGTCGCGGGATCGCCCCTACGCTGGCTCTGACGCCTCTTCTTCCTACCAGCAGCAGCAGCAGCAGCAACAGCAACAGCAACAGCAACAACAGCAGCAGCAGCAACAGCAGCAGCAGCAGCAGCATCCACCTCGTACGCCGCCTGGCTTTGGTGCAGTGAGCAGGAGTCCGCACTACAACCAGCCTACATCGCCCATGAACACCACTTTGCCGCCCTTGAACGGCGCGGAGCCTTCGCCGGCCTACCACGCCAGCCATCCGGCCTCCAACCAGCCTGGATACTCCCTCCCGCGGCCGTACAGCAGCTCGCTGATGTCGAATTCAGCTCACTCCCCGACTCCGGGCATGTTCGGCCATACGCCTACCCACACGCGTCCGGGGAGCATGGGAGACACCGTCATGCACTCTCCCAAGCGCGAGCCTGATATCCCTCTCGACTCGCGCTCAGCAAATCCCGTCTACTCTTCCTCCTCCTCGCAGCCTCCCATGGCCCGCGAGGCTAGAGCTACGACTCCAAAGGAACCGGTCAGTTCGCTTTTTTTAACCTTTCCCTTTTTTTTTATATCTATATATACCCTTATATTGTATTATATTAGGGGGTTACTGACGATGCCCTTATTAGAAACCTGCAAGAGCTACAGATCCCATGTCCTTTGCCAGTATTTTATCGGGCCCTGCAGAAGAACGCCCTCGGAAGGCTTCTGTCCCGCCGGTCAAGGCCAGTGAACCACCAGCCCAGCCTGTAGCAACGCCTGCTCCCAAACCGGCCCCCAAACCAGCCCCTAAGGCCGAACCCAGGGTGCTAGAGTCCGATAAACGTCGCCGGCATCACAACTACGACGCTACATATAGTGAAATTGCGCCAAAGCCCGTTGCGAATGGCACAGCTTCCGCTAAATCGGCGCCTCCTCTGGCCCCTGCAAAGCAATCTTCTTCGTCACACTCTCGGGGTGAGTCAAATAATGTCACCACTGCGCTGGAACGCTTAGACAATTTAGACAAAAGCGATCTCGAATCTCCTGGGTTCGAAGATGAGTGGCAGCGATATATCATCAAGGGGAGGAAACGGGCTAGGGAGGCAGAGGCCCTGGATAATCAGAAGAGAAAGGTATGCACCCAACCACCCATTAACGTTATCTTTACATCGTCGTTGCTAAATTTTTGTAAAACAGCGACGTCGAGCCAACTTTTTGGGTAAACTGGCCCGTGTGTTCGAGAAGCAAGCCATTGCCGGTACCGAACGATTTGCCCGACTCCATGAAGCTGAAGTGATAGAAGAGGTCCAGCAGAAGGAGATAATGGATGAAAAAGAACGCAAGAAGGATATGCAGCGGAAACGGCGGCGTGAGAATACCGTTCGTGCTGAGATGGAGAAGATTCAGGCCGCGCAGAAGAAGGTCAGCAAGATGGAAGACGATGCCGAAAAGGAGAAACTACAACGTGAAATCGCTCGCTCTCGCAAGAAGATCAAGCACACCAAACATGTACTCGAGACCGGATCTGCTCCCCAAGAGATCAGTGAAGTCGCTCCTCTGTCACCAAACCTCGAGGGTGGCACTACCGGTTCATTTCACACCCGTGACAAGCCTTCTCCTAATAAGAAGAGACCCAGCAAGGGAGGCTCTGCCGCTCGGCCAAAGAAGACCAAGGAGCAGAAACAGGCCGAGAAGGATGCCGCAGAGGCTGCCTATGCGGCCATGGAAGGTGAAGAACCGTCTGCCGCCGCATCCAAGGACAAGAAGCCGGCCGCGAAAAAGGATGCCAAAGCTTCAAAGGAACCCACGCCCGCCCCCGTTGCGACTTTCGACACCAAGGGTTATGCCCAGCTATATGAACAGATCTGGAGGGATATGGCTCGCAAGGATATTCCCAAGGTTGCTCGTATGAAGACTACCTCTCTCAATATCCGACAGGAGAACTGCCGCAAAACGGCACAGCTCGCAAGTAAACAGGCAAGGAAATGGCAAGATCGTACCAACCGCAGTACGAAGGATACCCAGGCCCGAGCCAAACGAACCATGCGTGAGATGATGTCCTTCTGGAAGAGGAACGAGCGTGAAGAGCGTGATCTGCGCCGGATGGCAGAGAAACAGGAACTCGAGCTCGCCAGAAAGGCAGACGCAGACCGTGAAGCCAACCGCCAGAAACGAAAACTCAACTTCCTCATCTCCCAAACCGAACTGTACTCCCATTTCATTGGCCGGAAGATCAAAACCAACGAAGCCGAACAGTCTGGTGACACCGCCGCCGCTCCCGCCGTTGACAAGCCCGCCGACGGCGCAAAGGAACCCGAAACCTCGCTCAACGTACCCGATGACCTCGGCGATCTCAGCGCAAAGGTTACCAACTTTGAGGATCTCGACTTTGACGCTGAAGATGATACTGCTTTGAGAGAGGCGGCCATGGCCAACGCACAGAATGCAGTCAAACAAGCCCAGGACCGCGCTAAGGCGTTCAACGAACAGGAGAACAAGATGGCTGCCTTTGACGAAGGTGAAATGAACTTCCAGAACCCTACAAGTTTGGGTGATGTCCAGGTTGCACAGCCTAAGCTGCTTAACTGCCAGCTCAAGGAGTACCAATTGAAGGGTCTCAACTGGCTGGTCAACCTTTACGAGCAGGGCATCAACGGCATCCTTGCCGACGAGATGGGTCTCGGAAAGACTGTACAGTCTATCTCCGTCATGGCGTATCTTGCTGAGGTCCACAATATCTGGGGTCCGTTCCTCGTTATTGCACCGGCTTCGACTCTTCACAATTGGCAGCAGGAAATCACCAAGTTCGTACCAGATATCAAAGTGCTTCCGTACTGGGGTTCGGCCAAAGATCGAAAGGTGCTGCGTAAATTCTGGGATCGCAAACACATCACTTACACCAAGCAATCCGAGTTCCATGTCCTGGTGACATCCTATCAACTCGTCGTTTTGGATGCCCAGTACTTCCAAAAGGTCAAATGGCAATACATGGTTCTTGATGAGGCTCAGGCTATTAAATCGTCACAAAGTTCAAGATGGAAGAATCTGCTTGGTTTCCATTGCAGAAACAGATTGTTGCTCACGGGAACACCTATCCAGAACAACATGCAGGAACTTTGGGCTCTTCTACATTTTATCATGCCTACTCTCTTTGATTCCCACGATGAATTCAGCGAGTGGTTCTCCAAGGACATCGAAAGTCATGCACAGAGTAATACCAAGCTGAACGAAGACCAGCTCAAGCGACTACACATGATTCTCAAGCCGTTCATGCTTCGACGTATCAAGAAGCATGTCCAGAAGGAACTCGGTGACAAGGTCGAGAAGGATGTCTTCTGTGACCTCACATACAGGCAGCGAGCGTACTATGCCAGCCTCCGAAATCGTGTCAGCATCATCGATCTTATTGAAAAGGCTGCCACGGGTGAAGAAGCAGACAGTACCACGCTGATGAACTTGGTCATGCAGTTCCGGAAAGTCTGCAACCATCCTGACCTGTTTGAGCGTGCCGACACTTCCTCACCTTACTCCATGTGTCATTTTGCTGAGTCCGCTTCCTTCGTCAGAGCGCAGCCATCAGTTCCCTATTCGACCCGTAGCTTGATAGACTACGATCTACCAAGCATGCTTTGCAGTTCCGCGGGACGACTCGACATTCCTGGGCCTAACAATAGCAAGGCAGGGTTTGATGATAAATACCTCTCGCATCTCATGAATGTGTGGTCACCGGAAAACATGCGGCACAGTCTAGGTGGAGACGATGCCTTCTCCTGGCTTCGGTTCACCGATCTGTCGATGGAAGAAGCACGTTCAATTTCTGAAAAGGGTGTCTTTGAGCGGGCGTTGGAGCGCCATGGTGTTGAGAATCGTCTGGCACGACTATCGATTGTTTATGACGATGATGAAACGAGCACGAATTCCCTTCTACCGCATTCGTTATTCAAAATCGTCGACCGTAACAGCCGATCTGCGCTCACCGAGCATGGTTCCTCCGGCTACCTACGTGAGCTATTCAACGTTACCCAGACGGTGATCGATAACCAAGGAATACTTGGTTTCGAGCCTTGTGGTAAATATGATGCGAACGCACCCCCAATAATGATATCATCTGCTTCATCCGTGCCGGACTTGGAGGCTCAAAATACCTTCTTCAATGTCCGGGCTCGTCAAGCTTTAATTGGAACAACAACTCGAGGCCTCGATGAAGATATTCTGAACCACAAGGTCAACCCCTTACCTTACTCGTATCCACCAATGCTGCCTAAACCAGGCTCCACGAAACGAGGATATACCAATATCACCGTGCCGTCCATGAGACGCTTTGTCACTGATTCCGGCAAACTAGCGAAACTGGACGAGCTACTTCGGGAGCTGAAGAACGGTGGCCACCGTGTACTACTCTACTTCCAAATGACCCGCATGATCGACTTGATGGAAGAGTATCTCACATATCGCAACTACAAATACTGCCGACTAGACGGTAGTACCAAGCTAGAAGACCGTCGAGATACCGTTTTGGATTTCCAGCAACGGCCCGAGATATTCATCTTCCTCCTCTCCACCCGTGCTGGTGGTCTAGGTATCAACCTGACAGCAGCCGACACAGTCATCTTCTACGATTCCGACTGGAACCCAACCATAGACTCGCAGGCTATGGACAGAGCTCATCGTCTCGGCCAAACAAGACAAGTCACAGTCTATCGTCTAATTACCCGTGGAACCATTGAGGAGAGAATACGCAAGCGAGCTCTTCAGAAGGAAGAAGTGCAGCGTGTCGTTATCTCCGGCGGTGCAGGTGGCGGCGTTGATTTCAACACCCGAAGCCGTGAGAACCGTACCAAGGATATCGCTATGTGGCTTGCAGACGACGATGAGGCAAAGATCCTGGAACAAAAGGAGAAAGAAGCTCTTGAGAAGGGTGAAGAGGCCGCTGCCGCTCCCAAGAAGGGTAGAAAGGCTGCTCCCAAAAAGAAGCGAGACGTCACGCTGGATGATATGTATCATGAAGGTATGCATTTACACTTATACTCTACACTCTACACCGTACATACGGTTACTTACAATGCAATATAGGTGAGGGTCACTTCGACGATCTAAGTGCCAGACCTTCCGGCGCCGCAACACCCTTATCTGCAGACGTCGAAGCACCTGCTGCAGGCCCATCAGGCAAAGGTGGTCGCCGCCGTGCTCCTGCAAAAGGCACCTCCAAACGAGCAAAAACCGCCAAAGAGCGTCTCCAATTCATCGATGGTGACGACTAGCTAATGTAAAAGGAAAATCAAA